ATTATATCCTTGTATCTGGTGACTTTTATCAGGCAAGATGTTTAGATTTGAAGTCATTGTTACCAGAAAGAAAATGAAATACTTAAAAAGGATAACTAAGTTTGAACAATAAGTGTTTTAGACCAGAAATGTTTCCAAATATCTGGATTGTTTTTTAAGATTATTTTCTGAACAGTCAATGGTTTACTCCTTCTCCGTTCCACTATTGGTTCACTTAAGCACACTTGCAAAATTTTATGGCTTTTAATGACCTTGTTAGGAAGCTCAACTGATTTTGCCCTGATGTTGAAAAGTTACAAAATATATGTGCATATTTAAATGCTAGGGATCACATTTTTATCTTGGAAGCTCAGTTAAATGCCATTGCTGTCACATATTTTAAATTAGTGAAAGGTATTTGTTTCTTTTGAGGACTTTAAAGAATATTTCCAATTTCAAAGCTTTCCATAAAAAGTTTAGTTAGTTCCATATAAAGTGTTATCCTTTTTTTTTTTTTATGGTATTTTAAGCACTAAAATGATAATGGTAATTAATTTCTGGTTCACAAAACTAGAACTATAATAGTTCTTAATTTTAAAATATAGTTTAAGCAAGGAGTATATAAAATCTACACAAGTGTCTATATGTGGTAGCATTTAAAAGTCCATTTTCATCTTTCTCATCAAATTAATAATACTTAGAAATTCTAGGATATCTATGTAGGCATTATCTGCTGTTCTCATGATTCCATCAGTTCTTAAAAGCATATAATATACAACTTATATTCACCATCATTACTGGCATTTGGTCTAGTAATTGGCTACTGCTAATAATAGAATTATTAGACTTAGACATAGAACACTATAGATGTAATACTTCCTTTCACTTACACATTTTAGAATTAATGTATTCTTTTAAAATTGTAAATTTTCATTAGTAAATGTAGAAACGGTTTTCCCTTTGGTTCATCGTGCTCTCTAGTCACAAAAAAGTTTATGGAAAAATAAAATTCTTCTAGGTTCAAAGATAATTTTTTCATAAAAGAAAAAAATGAAAAATTTATTCATGTGTTACTTAGGTAAGAGAATAATTTTAAGAAAAACTGACAATTTTGCAAAGGATTGATGAGGGATTTAAAAGAACAAATAAACTGATGAATCACAGACCTATACCCCTGAAACAAATAATACATTATATGTTAAGTAAATGAATTTGAATAAAAAATATAAGAACAAATAAAGTTATAAAGGTATAAAATAGAAATACATTATGACTACTTTGCTTAGAAAATAAAAGCAATTATTAAAAAAATTTTTTTGGAGTTTTTGTACTTTTAATATGCAGCAGTGAAACATAGTCTATACATTCCTAACAGAAAGAGACTCAAAACCAAAAAAGGGGGGAAGGGTTAGTTAGCATATTTTGTTTATAACAATTTAAAAATAAAAAAGAATATATAGATGAGGCAGGATTACATTAGCATTTTAGTTCTTTACAAAGTCAATTAAGCTGTTTCTTGATATTTAATTATATAGTGACTGAAAGGTCTTTGTAGATATTTTAAGTACACTTACAGTATTCCCAGTAATGTTCTTGAGTGCTTTTCTGGGACTGCTTGGGAATGAGAAATTTTTGTTTAGAAACCTAAAATGTTTTTGATATAATTTAATGTATTTTTAATAGATAATATTAAGGATTTTTTATTCTTAGTAAATTTATGGATTAATACACAAGTAGATAATTTGGTTTATATATAGTTTAAAGAAAGAAAGTTTTTAGCACACTCTGTAGAAATAGCAAATAGTTACCTCTAAACTCATAAGTTACTTCTAAACCCTTCCCTGTATCAGATAATGCTATTATAATAAGATATATTTTTAAGCACTTTGGGTAGTAAATCCTTTTTTTTTTAAACCTGATGTGTTCATCATGGGCCAATATATTGGCCAGTATAACTTTAATATAATTCAACATAGTTCTCAAATATTGGCTTCCAATTAATCAGTTTAATAAAAAATTTAAATTTTTACTACATGCAAGGTACTGTGTTAGGTTTTGGGAGGGTCTAAGAAAGATCTTAGAAAGGACCCATAGTTTTTATTCTACACTTCACCACCTCATTTGGCATTATTATTACACTTAGGTGATGTCTTGCTAACCAAAATGTTAAACATCTTTATGTGAAGGATTTTATACACCCTTATCGTCATTATCAAAATAACGGTGATATTGTTGTAAAGAGTTTTATAGTTTTAAAAATTTGTCTTACTTGTTATAGTCTTAAAATGAATAGAATCTTTTGTAATTTAGGCTCAAACTGAGATAGGCTTTAAAAAGTAATAATATTTTTTAATTAAAGGATGCTTACTGCTGTCTTCTGACAGAGTTTATGTTTTCAATTTCATAGTTTTGTGCTAATGAACTTTTTTATTTAATAAGTATATCCAGGAAACTGCAGGTAAAATATAAAAATTGTATGTTAGGTGTCTAGGGAAAATGTATAGAATATTTTAATTTATGTAGGGTATGAGATCACAGCTTGGCATACCTGTCCCAGAACAGACATTTATGTATGATTATATCAATTGGGTTTTATAACCATGAGTGCTTTGATAAGATTTGCAAGATAAAATCATATATACCTTTAAGAGCAATGCTAGGCTATGTCTTGCATATTAAATTCATGAATATCACATAACTTGCTTTTGAGTTCATGATTACTTTTCAACACTACTTTCCATCTGTCATGGACAGGGATCCCTGAGATGTTCATATTCTGCATTCTCATGTGCATGATACTTAGATTTAAAAAAGGTGGGTGGGGGAAAGCCGCTTCATAGAAATACACGTTCACAGCATTCATGCTGCATGTTTTGTGTGTTCCACTGCAAATCCTGCATGCTGCGTACTTTTATTTCTCTGAAGATGAAGAACATAGGCTTATACACACACACACAAATTTAGTTTCACTTTTGCCAATAGTTGGAACAGATGGAGGAATGTTATACATAATGCCTTCTCTATTTTAAAAATGATTTTTATCGTATTTTTCAAAAAACAAGGAAAAAACTTGTTGTTTAAACCCAAAGTGGCTACAAATCAGCTCCTAAACTGTCACTGACATTAGCATCTAGATTTTGTAGTTTTTACAAATCTTTTTAAAATATTTATTTACTAAGAAAACATTGCATTAATGCATGATACGAAATTGATAAATTTTTCTTTAAATTGGAATGCAGTTTAAAGTGACTGAATTTTCCAATTTCAGCTACTGCATTTGACAAAGATACAAACTGGAAAATGGAACTGGTATCATCTAATTGCCCTAGGTTCTTCGACTCCTGGTAGTTGGGAAAAATATTTCCATGTGACATTATGTAGATCACATCATTAATGGTTAATATTAATTATTATGCTCTTCAGCCTTGACAGCAGTGAGAAATTATGGGTGAATTTAGCTCTTTCAAATGACTTAAGTGTTCTGGTACATGTTTTTAATTTAAAAATAGATCTTTGGCACTTGGCTTTTGATTATCTGAACACTGGCATTCTTACATTCACTGTTTAGATTATAATTGATAAGAATGTTGCAATTCCAATGACTGCACATCAGTTTTAAATTTTATCCTACCACTGTAACACAGTGGCACACTTGGCTATAGATAAAAACTGATTTTAGATTTAAACATATCTTTTAGCTCTCTGTCCCGTGTTACCTATTTTTAGTTTTATGTGTGTATGATTATGAACCTTTCCGTGTCTTATACAAGATCAAATGGTATTTCTAAAATTTTAAGAACTGACAACTTCCTACCTTAACATTATTAGTGTGCCTTTGAGGTTGTGCTGTTAAGGCTTAAAATAGTAGTATTTTTCAACAAGCTGTTCTGCCAGTTGCCACGTGTTTTGAAAAGATCTACTTAAATCTTTCTTGCTAGGTATAATAAATAAATGGCTTTGTAAAAGACCTTTTTAGAGAAACTAATTTTAGTGCTTCCCCAGCACTAGAATTTCTTGTTTAACTCTTTTTCTGTTAGGCTTCACTCAATAAAAGTTACTGTTACTTTTATTAAGAAATTCCCTTAATGGTAAAAATCAAGCAGGCCCTTTAAAGAGAGAGGAAATCAATAGTGGTAAACACTTGCTGAGTGTGTAATCAAGTACTTTGTAAGAGAAATCCATCCAGTAATCAATCCTTACTCTACTTATTAATTCTCCCATAAAGGATGGATTTATTTATTTTAGAGATTATGGTTTTGAACTGCCATTTCCAACTTCTGGATACCCTTAGTGGTTAACTTCCTTATCTTCTACAGCCCAGCATATTCCAAATCAAACTTTTTTCACTTTTATTCTAGATTTTACAACAATCATAGTGACGGTACCAGTTCCATTTTGCCTCCAATTCAGTTGATTATATATTTTTCTATTTATTTCTCATTTTATAATTGATATCTGGAATAATCAGCAGCTCTTTTCTCATTTATTTTCTCATATTTTTATTCCAGGATTTGCCTCTGAAGCAGGGAGTGTCTGCATTAAAAATGACCTGTAGTTCTCTGCTTCATAGGTTAGAAACTTATTTTAATATTTTGTGGCTAAGCACAGTCCCACTTTTCAAATTCTATAATGGATTATTTAATTGGCATTGAATGTGGACCACAAGCATATATTTCATATTGGGGTTTTCTTTATTATTTTAAATGATTAAAATTCAACAGAACATCCAGCTGAGGCAATAAAAGCTTTATTCTTGCTTTACAGCTTAAAACATTAAATTAGATTTTTAAAAATCTATCAATTATAACACAAGTAAAATATTGCTATTTGGGCATTTTTTAAAATTGCATTTTTTTAGGCCTTGTATTGCTTGAAGCATTTATATTCTAAAACTTAACCAAATTCCAACTATTCATTTTGGGGAAAAACAATCAGTTCACGAATCACATTTTCAATGGGACTGCTAGCCAGCATAGGTGAAAATATGTATAGTGTATTTACTCTTAAATTGTACACCGCAGATGCTTCTTCAGCTCCCTCCTCTTCCTCCATGGGCGGTGCTTGCAGCTCCTTTACCACCTCTTCCAGCCCTACCATTTATTCTACCTCAGTCACCGACAGCAAGGCTATGCAAGTGGAGAGCTGCTCCTCAGCCTTGGGGGTAAGTAACAGAGGGGTAAGTGAAAAGCAGTTAACCAGTAACACAGTTCAGCAGCATCCATCAACACCGAAGAGGCACACAGTCTTGTACATCTCACCACCACCTGAGGACTTGCTGGATAACAGTCGGATGTCCTGCCAGGATGAGGGGTGTGGATTGGAATCAGAGCAGAGCTGCAGTATGTGGATGGAGGATTCCCCCTCCAACTTCAGTAACATGAGCACCAGTTCCTACAATGATAACACTGAGGTACCTCGTAAATCACGAAAACGAAATCCAAAGCAGAGGCCGGGGGTCAAACGACGAGATTGTGAAGAATCTAATATGGATATATTTGATGCCGACAGTGCCAAAGCACCTCACTATGTGCTTTCTCAGCTTACCACGGACAACAAAGGCAACTCAAAAGCAGGAAATGGGTTGGTATTCACATTTTTTAAAGTTCTATCACCATTGTGCAAAACAAAACAAAAAATAAATAAATCATTCCCCAGTTTTTGTAATTGCTCAATTCAAGTGTGCATATAAAGCAAAGATACTGATTTTATCATTGAGATACATGAAAATTCGAACTTAAAATTACCAAGTTTCACTACAGAAAAACATTAATAGATTTTAGCAATAGGTATCTTATTATGAGTATGATTAGTAGAAAATAATCTGTTTTGAAATAACTTAAATTTCAAATGGATTTTATTTTAAAAGGATTTAAAAATATTTTTACTCAGAGAAATAACTAGATTGTAATGGCCGTCGTTAACTCAAAACATTTGAAAAGGGCTAGTTTGTGTTCTTTCATGTTGTCTCCCCATATGGTTCAACCCATTTCCATTTCTGAGGATTTTAGACTTTTTTCTTTTGATGAAAACAAGAAAAAACTAAATTGATGGTTTGATTCTCATCATTTAGATTCATGTATCTATTTTAAGCTTTTTCTTTGATACATTGTGCTGACATTTTTAAAAAAAATATATCACTGATTCTTTTTCCTGTGAGTCTGGGTTTATGTATTGGAAGGGTGATAGAACAGGTCATGGTACATGTTTGAGTTTTCATTCATCTCTGCCAGTTCACAACACTCACTATAAATATATCTGCATATAAATATATTTCAGTGGCTGTAGTACAGAATATTTATTGCTATAGTATAGAATACTATGACTTACTTTTAACTTCTTAATTCCTTTAGTACTTTTATTATATTTAATTGCTAGACTTTTTAAATTAGATTTTCCTATCGTACATTCAACATAATTTGATAAAATTTAACTCAGTGGATTTTGAGAGATTACTCTTTGGGAGGCAGAATATGGTCTTTAGTTGATCCAGAACCTCCTACAATTTCAGGTGGTTACAGAGAGTGATGGAGAAGTGTTAGGTTGGTTTATTACTTGATGACATCATTCATATCTTTTAAGTTAGAGATCTGGTTGAATATTATAGAGAATATTTTTTAATGTACATTAAACTTGTTCTTAAATATTCTGTCAGTACATTTTTTAAGTAATAGCTACCATTTATCTACCATTTAAGTGTAATTATTCTATACTGTTTTCTTTTCTCCTCTCACTTAGAACTTCTTTGGGGTGATGTAGTTAAATAAAAGTAAACATTGAAATGTTTTTTCTTTTTAGAAAGTCCAGATTAGGAAATTATCTTAAAAAAAAAAACAAGATATAGCCTTTCCTAAAATGTTGCCATTAGCAGAGTCAATTCTACAACATATTTGTAGAACTAGTACCTGTAGAATAATGCTCTGAAACATAGTTGCACAGATGTAAAAGGCTCATGTGTATCTGTCACGAAATATGGGTGTTTATTTGGGCTTCAATGCAAAAAAAAATTTTTTTTAAGTTCCAGAAGAGAGATTTTCATTTTGATATTGAAATAAATGTTAAAGATCCAAATGAACAAATAAAATTTTGACATAGGGTTAGTCAACACATATGATTTGCAGTTCCTATTAAAGAGATATCTTGACCTACATCTTTTCTGCTTCTGCTTTTGTATGATAGATATATCTTAGAAATGATTTGAGGTTACCCAGGGAAAGTATAATAACATTTGTCAAGACAAAAATCTCTCATGAAATAATTCATGGAACAGAAACTCATCAAGCAGCAGAAGAAATGTCCAGCTTCTTAGGTAATGGAAAAATATTTGGCACTAGCAAATAGAAATGATGGAAGAAGTTTTCATTTTGAATTTATAAGAACTATATCAAGGAGAGGATAAAAGTTTATGTAAATATATAGAAAAATAGGCTTTTCAAAGCAGTTATTAAGAGGATCTCAAACTAATGTCCTATATTCTTCAACAAGAAAGTTTCTAGAAACATGAAAGAAATTTAGAAATCTTTTAAGGGATAAGGTATATATAGCCTTAGATTTAATGTGCCATATATTTACAACTTATGTAATGCTAAATTATAGGAAATATACTCTCAAATATGTTGTATATAGCAGTTTTATTGATCAAGATGAAAATAGCACTTTTGTATAATTAAAATATTATATATAAAAGTTAGAGTTTATGAAGAAAACAGAATCATTTGAAAAGGAACTACTTAGTATTTAAACATTCCTAGCCATGTCATTCTTAAATTCTTCAACTAAATGTCCTGAGAATCAGTAGCCCTCTGTCTCTTCTAGATATTTCTAGAAATTAAGACATGATGTCATCTGGATGTGAAACGCTTTTTAGGCATTTTGTAGTAGAAGTTATTTTTTTGTGACATAGACAACCAAAAGGATGTGTAACACAAAGAAATTAGAATGTCATCTTAAGACTTCTGAAGAGTATGCCAAACTGGATTTACCTTTTAGATGTCATTTAAAAGTAAAATCCCATCCAATTAACTGCTACTTTCTTGTTTGTTCTTAAGCCATCATGCCTTAAAAATTAGTAATTTAATTGACTACTTTTCCAAGGATTAGTTGACATTTTCATTGTTTTACATGTCTAAAGATCTAAATATATATATATGTATTCCATCTTTACATTTAAGCTTTAGAGAATAAAGATAGTTTTGAGGGCTTTAAAAGTATCATTTCAGAAGTTGTTTAGTTACATGGACTATTCTTCTTTAAGAATATGTATACTTGTCAACTCACTTAGCAGCCTTCATCCCAAATGAAATACTTGGTTTTACTGAAATAGTAAAACTCATATTCATCTGTTTATCCTCATAAATATTAGCTTGGCTAGCATAAGTGAATATAAAAACTGTATCTTGCCAAATTCATTGACATATGCTAAATTTTCCTTATATTTCAAACGAAGTGTTCCCTTTTCTTATTATAAAATGAATACGTATTAATTACAAACATTTGGAAAAATAGAAGAAAAGAAATAACCCATAATCTAGTCAACTGCTTTTAGCATTTTGCTGTATTTTCTTTTCAGTGAATATTTGGGGGGTGTTTTTACATAGTTTCTGTAAGTGAATATTTTTGCTTTGGTTTTAAAATAAGTAAAAAATGATATCATTGTAGGTTTTCATAGGTAAGAGCAAATGTATTGAGAGCACATTGTATTGAAAGCAAATGTTTGAATTTCTGCCCAGAAAGATGAAAAGGAAAATAGGATTTGTTGCCCATTATTCCAGTTTCAACTCTTTGATTCGTAGAATTTATTCTTCTAGGGCCTTTTAAATGAGTTACACAGGTAATCTTTGACTTAACGTATGTCAAACTTACATGAATGGCATTCCTTGGCCAGTTAGGATCCAGTCTTTCTCATCTTACTATTAAAATAGGTGCTCTTTTTTTCTTCTTTCCTTATTTGTTCCTTTCTTTTTCCTATTTGCCTTCAACAAGGACTATTTTCTCAGCACCTTCGGTTTCAGGAATTATGCAGGGTTCAGGGAATATGAAGATGATAGAGCACAGTGCTAGCCCTCAGAACTCTCCCACGTACCTTGTCAGTCTTCGCCCATTCCTTTGCATTCCTTCTTCATTCTTCTGTCCCTTTCCTAGCCATGAGCTTCAACCCAGTGCCTGGTTCCACTGAGAAAACAATATTTCCTCCTTTTTTTTTTTTTTAAGATTTCATTTATTTATTTTGACAGAGAGAGACACAGCGAGAGAGGGAACACAAGCAGGGGGAGTGGGAGAGGGAGAAGCAGGCTCCCCCATGATCAGGGAGCCCGATGCGAGGCTCAATCCCAGGACCCTGGGATCATGACCTGAGCTGAAGGCAGACGCTTAACAACTGAGCCACCCAGGCGCCCCAATATTTCTTCTTTTTGTTATTGATAATAGAGGCAACAACTTGGTTAGAGATGGAGGGTTAAACCTTAGGGCCATTTTTAAGGCTTCATAGCCACCATTGTTCTTCCTTGTTTGAATTCATAATGTTCCTCCTGGGACCTGTTTGCTTTTGGAGATTTTTCCACAGTCATCTCTTGGCTTCTGTATTTTCAGTGTGAGTCATACAGAAAGCAATATAGGCCATGACATTTTATTTTATTTTTAAGATTTATCTATTCATTTGAGGGGGGAGGGGCAGAGGGAGATGGAGAGAATCTCAAGCAGACTCCCCGCTGAGCACAGAGCCCCATGCAGGGCTGATCTCATGAACCTGAGAGCATGACCTGAGCCGAAACCAAGAGTCCAACCTTAACTGACTGAGCCACCCAGGACCCCCTCTGACTCTATTTTAAAGTGTACATGGGTAGCGGCACCTGGGTGGCTCAGTCACCTAAGTGTCTGCTTTTGGCCCAGGTCATCATTCCAAGGTCGTGGGATCGAGACCTGTCTTGGGCTTCCCGCTCCTCTCTCAGCCAGGAGTTTGCTTCTCTCTCTCTCCCTCTGTCCCTCCCTCTGCTCATGCTCTCTCTCTCTGTCTCACTCACTTTCTCTCAAATGAATAACATCTTTAAAAAAATGTACGTGGATAATTTAATTTTTTTTTAATTTTTTAAAAAGATTATTTATTTGACAGAGAGACAGCGAGAGAGGGAACACAAGCAAGGGGAATGGGAGAGGGAGAAGCAGGCTTCCCACAGAGCAGGGAGCCCAATGTGGGGCTCAGTCCCAGGACCCTGGGACCACGACCTGAGCCGAAGGCAGACACTTAAAAACTGAGCCACCCAGGCACCCCATACATGGATAATTTTAAGTCTATTTAAAAAAAAAACTAATAGTATTATTTTGTATTTGTCACATTTGCAGTGCTTCAGATTAAATGTATTGACGTAAAGTCCTAACCACCATTTGAAGTATTTTTCTTTGAACATACATTCCACATAGCAAATGCATGATAAACAAATACTAGAAATACAAATTTTAAAAATAAAAAAAATTTAAAAAGAAATACAATTAAAAAACAGATTTCCTATCTGTAAAGCCCAGCTTATAAAGATTTTATATGCTAAGGTCTTTAATTATTTAATCACAAATAAAAATACTCTGAAAAATTAACACTTCTAAGAAAGATTTTTAGAGTAAATCTAATTTCCCAATAAAAATTGGATCACTGATTTTTTTATTACAATTTTTTCAGAAAAATTATACTGAAAAAGATATCCAAAGGAATATGTATGCTACATGTCCTTTGAATTGTTTTATTAAGGCCTTTTGTTTATTTATTTATCTATTTTTTGGCTACTCCCACTTTTCTTTTGCTTTACAAGTCTGGTTAGAAGATAATGGTAGTTAATCTTGTAGCTTTAAAATTTGTTTTGACTGAAGTACAGTGTGAAAGGTTATAATGACATCAGCTCTTATCCGTTACTCCTGGCTTATTGCGTTCGGTCTTCCTCCCCTCCTCCTACCACACATATGCATTTTTTATTTTTGCACTGTACAGTTCAGTTTTATTGCAAAGTTTTGAGATACTTTGCTTATGGAGTGTATCTTCGCTTAGGCTCTAGGTTGTCAGTAAGATAATCAGTTGTTTTTAATGTACTCCCTATCCTGTTTCTTCCTCTATCTTAGATGACTTTTGTAGAAAAAAACTCTTTTTGATACTTTTTCCATGTTGTGCTTTGACTTCTCAGAACATTGGAAAACCCAAAAGGAAGTGGAGTAAAGAAGAGCCCTATGTTGTGTGGACAGTATCCCGTTAAAAGTGAGGGAAAAGAGTTGAAGATAGTTGTACAGCCTGAGACCCAGCATAGAGCTCGGTACCTGACTGAGGGTAGCCGTGGCTCAGTAAAGGATAGAACACAGCAAGGCTTTCCTACAGTAAAGGTACTTAATTTATTTAGCAATATACAAAGAATTTCTTCCGTTTTGTTTTTAACCAGCAAAAGCTGTCTACAATAGAATGGTAGAATTGCTAGGTGTATATAATGGAAATTAAAGCAAAACTGAATCCTAAGCCCGATATTGTTACTTTGATGTCATTTGAATTTTAGCTTAGATTAAAGAGGAGGTGAGAATGTATTCTGATAAATATCTGGAAATCATGAATTATGTTCTCCTTATATTTGACATAGGTAGCAACTGTATTTCTTCCCAAACTTAATATTTAAGAGGAAATTTTAAAGTGAATTAAAAAAAATATTGTAGAAATTACTATGAACTTGGAAAGTAAGGTTTTTGAGATGGCCAAAGAAATCAGGACTGTTCATCTCAGAAAAGAATTGGTTGATAAATAATTTAAGTCTTCAGTTTAAGAAATAGGATATCAACTGAATCTTCATCGTTTCAGAATTTAGACCAAATGAAAAAAGGGGGCTTAAATTTCAGTACCTGGGAAACTGTTAGAGTATTTCTCTTTGAAGACAAACCAAAATAGAGTTGGGTTGGGGATATTTAATAAGTGTTTCTGCCCCTTATAAAACATTAAACAGGGAGGAATTTTGGCTAGTCACATGGTAAATTCTTGTTAAATACAGTTTGTGAAAATGTGTTAGTTGAGTAGTATTCAATTGGACTGCCTTTCATTTTAAATTTTAATGAAATAATGGTAGAATCTTGGGATCAGGAAACCTATCCGTGGCTATTTATAAGGTTGGTTAATAGTCAACATCATCATTCCTTATCCCTCTGTTACTCATCACACCAACCCATCCTCAATCCCCCAAACTCAAGACAAATAATAGGTAAATAAGAAATTTCAGTTTTGCTCTTTGTAAATATTTGTCTAACCATACATGTTGATAATTTGGTCAGTATTTTTTAACCCAGTTGCTCTAACTTTAAGTTATGCTTTGTTTAAGTACTCTTTGGTCAGAAGTATTATTAGATTGTCTAACTATGATAGGGAGTGAATTGACTGACCTCAAAAGTTTATTTATTCATTCATTCAACAAATATGCACCCCTTTATGTACCAGACACTGTTCTAGGTACTGCTAATGGTTTCTGTAGATTGTTTATTTATCTGCTTATTTCCCTCATTTTGATATCTTTTCACAGAGATATAGCTATACTGGGTTAGAAAAGATGTATGAATTTTGTAAAGCCCTCTGGTATACATTGTACAAGTTATTTTGTGATTTTACGCATTCTATATTAGCAGCTTCAGGGTTTAACTATAAACCTGAACAAAAATCTGCATTGGAAACATTTGTTCCCAAATGCTGTTTTAAATATTTATTTATTCTTCAGCATACAAATTATAACTTATGAAGGCTTATTAGAGACCTGTAAGGACCCATAGATCCTGGTCTGAACTAACAGTTTTCAAACCATGTTTTGGCCCAGGATTTCATGATGTTGTGTGTGTGTGTATGCAAAGAGCTCCATTTCCCTTTTATTTATATAGGTGCACTTCACTTTCCTATTTAAATAGCTTTAAAGAGTAAAAAATTCACTATGTGTATTCATTTGATGATGATGATGATAATGATGCCACTAACACAATTTAGTGACTTTTCCATTAGTGGTGGTGGTAAATTTTGAATAACCCACATGCTTTGGCAGTCCATAAATTTATAAATACCTAAAGGACTGTGTATTCATTTGCATCTGGTTGTACAAATTAATTATAAATGGTAATTTATCATTATACATACAAAATTATAATCAAAGTGTGATTATTACAGAATTAAAACATTTCGTACAGAAACTTAGGCATCTGTCCTTTTTATGAAAATATTGTACTTTTGTTTATCTTGAGGATTTAAATGATTTCTTTATTGTTATCCAGTTATAAATATAGGACTTGGTCTTAAGTGTTTGATTTGACAATCAGATTATTTGAAAGGCTAATTAGTGTTTATGTTCCATGTTATCTCACTCCAGCTGGAAGGCCATAATGAGCCAGTAGTGTTGCAAGTGTTTGTGGGTAATGACTCTGGTCGAGTGAAACCACATGGATTTTATCAGGCCTGCAGGGTAACTGGGCGAAATACAACTCCCTGTAAAGAAGTGGACATTGAAGGCACTACCGTTATAGAAGTTGGTCTTGATCCAAGCAACAACATGACACTGGCGTAAGTACTTAGTATAAAATATTTTTCAGTATACATTGCACTTTTGCAGTGGACTCAAAAAAATTTTGGTTTCTAATGTAAAAAAAGAAGATTTTGAGTATTTTATTTAAATGTTTTAAACATTACAAATAGCAGAATGGTGTAATGGATTAAAATGAACTCTTTTGCCCTTTGCCATGGAATTCCCATGATGAAAGGCAAGGAAATAAAAGCCAGGTGGAATGCTGGCTTTTTTGAAAATAATATGGATTTACTTGTTGGAATTAATAAAAGTAATGTTAAAAAATAAAAATTACAAACAATTTGATTTGCTCTCCTAAATTCTGCTTTTCTTTTTTTTTTTCTAAATTCTGCTTTCTTAGTGTTTGCGTTAGAAACTCTTTGATGGAGGCCATTCATGCTACCTTGACCCATTTTAATGTGAAAAAGCATATTGTTCTAAATTCACCTTCTGTTTCTATTTTCCTACATTAAAAAAGAGTATGTTCTGGGACTATGTTTTTTTCATCTTAGCATTTTCATTGCCCAAAATGTATTAGAAGTATTAATGATTTAAATTTAAAAATTTTTCCCCTTAAACCTTTTGTTAAGATCCTTTAATCCTAAAGTTAAACCATAACAGCAGCAAACATATTGAAAAGGGGTAGACTTATGTTGTAATTATTTATATTGGATAGCTAATGGCATTTCTCTATTTAGTTTTCAGTATCCTTTTGAAAGCCATTTTGAATAGGTTAGTAAGAGGTTAATTGGAAGGGGAAATTTAGAAAAATATTTAGTAAAGACTTATTTTTTAACTTTTGAAAATTATAAAAATAAATGTATATAGTGGAAGAAAGGAAGGGAGTTACTGATTATAAAAATAGTGCTTATTCATTATAAGTTGAAAATACAGAACAATGAAGAGTAATAATAAAAAACTAAAAACATCTCTCAAAAGACAACTTCCCAGAAATAACGGCTATTTTTTTTTTTTTGAGAGAGAGAGAGAGCACACAAACTGGAGGAGAGGCTGCGGGACAGGGAGAAGTAGGTTTCACTCTGAGCAGAGAGACCCATGCAGGGCTCGATCCCAGGGTCCTGGGATCATGACCTGAGCTGAAGGCAGATGCTTAACCAACTGAGCCACCCAGGCGCCCAATAACTACAATTTTGATATATATCTTTCCATCTTTTTTTCTGATAACATTGAAATAATACTGTACCCACTGTTTTGTAACCCTGCTTTCACTTACCAATCAGTATTTTCCTTATAGTAAATCTTATTTTATAGCATATATTTTAATGGCCATATAATGTTCCGTTCTTTTGGAGACAGTTGCTAGTTTTGTTTTGTAAGTAAAATTCATTCCCTCTATTTTAATATATGAATTAGCTGCAAAAATAGAGGATACATTTATTTTTTTAAAAATGGCAATTGGGGTGCCTGACTGGCTCTTGATCTCAGCGTTGTGAGTTTGAGCCCCACGTTGGGTATAGAGCATACTTTAAAAAAAAATAAATTAAGGGGCACCTGGGTGGCTCAGCCCATTAAGTGTCTGCCTTCGGCTCAGGTCATGATCTCAGGGTCCAGGGATTGAGCCCCGCATTGGGCTTCCTGCTCAGTGGGGAGTCTGCTTCTCCCTCTCCCTCTACCTCTCCCCTGCTCGTTCTCTCTCTCTCTCTCTCTCTCTCTCCAATAAGTAAATAAAATCTTTAAAAGAAAATAAAACAGAAAAAATAAATTAAAATTTAAAAATGTCAAAAGTATCTCTTGTAAACCATTATGTTCAGATTTTGAAATAGCAATTTTACTTTACTATTTTTCCACTATTATTATAAATGAAAAATTGACAAGATTAAGAATTATGAATATTCAGAATTCACCCTTCTGTACTTTTTGAATTTCGAACCTTATGATTGTATTACATTTTCAAAAAATTAATAATTAGCAAAAACATTTTTAAAAGAAACTTATTTGGGGCACCTGGGTGGTTCAGTCAGTTAAGCGTACAACTCTTGATTTCAGCTCAGGTGCTGATCTCAGGGTTGTAAGGTCGAGCCCCTGTCAGGCTCCACACTGCACATGAAACTTGCTTAAGAAGATTCTCTCTTTCTCCCTCTGCCCCTCCCCCCCTAAAAAAAAGAGACTTATTTGGTTAAGAATATTGTACTATTTATACAACAGAAAATATCAGTTAATGTCTTTTTTTGTGTGTGTTAGGGTGGACTGCGTAGGGATATTGAAATTGAGGAATGCTGATGTTGAAGCCAGAATAGGAATTGCTGGTTCCAAGAAAAAAAGTACTCGTGCCAGATTGGTTTTTAGAGTTAATATCACAAGGAAAGATGGCTCCACTTTGACACTGCAAACACCCTCTTCTCCGATTTTATGTAGTAAGTAAGAAAATATATATTGGATTTTTTTCATCTTCTGTTAATTTGCAGACATCTCTAAATTTCAGATGTATCATATGCTCTAGTTTGTGATCTTGCAAAACTTGAAACATTTTAAAAAGCTGTAGTCAAATTTTCTAGACTAAAAGGTGGATAATATCAAATAATTTTCTAAAGATGTATAGCATTTTGTAGTTCCCTATTATCATCACATACTAATTTTAAAAGTAATTTGAGGGGGCGCCTGGCTGGCTCAGTTGCTCGAGAATGCTACCCTTGATCTCAGGGTCGTGAATTCAAGCCCCCCACATTGGGTGTGGAGCCTACTTAAAAATTTTTTTTTAATTTTGGAAAAAGTACTTTAGGGGCACCTGGGTGTCACAGTTGCTTAAGCTTTCAACTCTTGATAATTACCTCAGGTCTTGATCCTCAGGGTCATGAGTTCAAGCCCCGCTCTCGGGCTCCATGCTTAAAAAAAAAAAAAGAAAATGTACTCTGAATGGTTTACCTGAAGTAAATTGAAAAGCCAAAGGATTTTTTTTGCTGCATTTTTATTGTGTGATAAATTGCTGTGATCCTAAGTCTATTTTCTATTAGAACAGAAGAAACACTAAGGTAAGCAGAACTTTGTAAATATACAGCTGTTGGAGTTCTGATTACAAATTATGGCATTAAATTATAGTGTTGGGAAGTGGGAAATGAAATTCTTATTTTGCTAATCTTGGCATAGAGAGTAAATGTGTGTGTGTGTGTGTGTGTGTGTGTGTGTGTGTGTGTGTGTTTAGATTCAATCATGTTGTTGTATGTGTCTCACCATATATTCTGGTTTCCCTGTAAGAAGTATTATTACAAGTAATAAATAGGAAAAATTTTTCCTTTATATGTCACTTAAGATTTTCATTGAGTGTAATTTTCTTTGGCATTGTGTTTTTGTAATTTGTACCTGAAATCAGAAGAGCAGAAGAGACGCAGTTCCATTCAGTTGAATTTCCTTTGGGTTGTTTTCTGTATTCTGACCTTGCTACCCCTACAGAACCTTTGTTACTGTATTTTAGTTTTGTCAAATTGTTCATCCTTTGTAAATCTTATTTTTCCCTTTCTTTTGATTCATCTTTGAAATGATTATATAGCCATACTCTAGCTTAGTGAACACCCTAATTTTTTTTTTTAAGTACTAAAATATCTTTCTGATGTCAAGCGAGCTCAGTTGGATTTCTCTGTTTTTCATTATTATGACAAATTTGTGTTGATACTAGTATTTCCTTGGGCTATTTCTGGGTGATGTGCAATTATAAATAGACTGCTTTTACAAATCATAGATTCCATGTCCATTCTATTGCATTTAGATAGGGACAAAATAAACAATCTGTAGATGGTTTATTGAGTTTTAAAGCTTTTCTAATTGGGGTGCTCCAATTCTGGATTTACTAATTCACGGTATGTTCCAACTTGACTCTTAAAGGATGAATTTCCAATTTTAATGGTGTATTTGCAGTTCTTTTTTTAAGTGATCTAATACTTTGAGCATGACCATAGCCACTCTCTGAAGGCCAGAGCCAGGAGATGCTAGATAATTGAGATCATACTGCTTCAGCAGAGACTGTGAATTGGTTGCCAACTTTAATTATTTGTTCTTTCTTTCATTAGTGTGTTCAATCATTTCTTCATTTTCTTTTTCATTAAACTATTGTTAAAGTATAAATATAACTGGCTAAAGATGGTAGAAAATACGAAAGAACTGGAAAACATAATTTTCTGAAATTTTTCATTTGTAATTATTATCATTTGTTAATTATCACTGTTAATGATAATATTGTCCACATTGCAAAAAAGTGTATCTCTCTGGGAGGTGATGTGTGGGGTAGATTTGATGGCCCTAAGAAGGAATGGAAAGGATATATGGCCAGTGATAAGAGTTAACATGCTTTGAACTCTGACTATGTGCCAGGGATTTTGTTAAACACTATAAGCATTGTATCATTTAGTCCTCTCTGTTACCTTATATGGATTCCATTCTACAGTTGATGAAACTGAGACTTAGAGTTATTTACTCCCTCAAGGTCACATTGCTGGCAAATAGTAAGACCAGGATTCAGAGCCTCTGCTTTTAGCCACTATGCTATATTGTCATCATAATCACTTAAAATTGCAGTGCTAAAACCAAGTTTAAACAATTCATTTCATCCTAGCCAAAGCCTCTGGATGGTTAGGACTATGGTTACAGCAAGAGATTGTTAGTGAACTGTTTCCTCTACCTAGGAGATTTATTTGTGTCATTTAGACTTTTTATGAATTGAGAAAATAGATCTCTGTTCATATTGGGGGATTTTACTTGAATACCTGTATTGTCCCTTCCATTTCCTTTTGTAGAAGTCATTTATTATGGAGGTGTAGGTTATTTATTTTTATTTTTATTTTTATTTTTTTTTAAAGATTTTATTTATGTATTTATTTGAGAGAGCGAAAATGAGAGAGAGAGAGAGCACATGAGAGGGGGGAGGGTCAGAGGGAGAAGCAGACTCCCCGCTGAGCAGGGAGCCCGATGCGGGACTTGATCCCGGGACTCCAGGATCATGACCTGAGCCGAAGGCAGTCGCTTAACCAACTGAGCCACCCAGGCGCCCTGGTTATTTATTTTTATTCCTTTAGTTGACTATTTGTCACTTTTCATCTGCTTAGAGAAACTGGATTAGATAAACATGATCAGTACTTTCTTTGAAAGAAAGGGGTACCAAAAATGATGTGGTTTTGCCATTTGTGACAACATAGGTAAATCTACAGGGTTTTATACTAAGTGAAACAAGTCAGAGAAAGACAAATACTGTATGATTTCACTTATATGTAGCATCTAAAAAAGACAAATGTGAATAAACAAAAAGTAGAATAAGACCTATAAATACAGAGAACAAACTAATGGTAGCCAGGTTGCTGGGGGATGAGCAAAATGGGTGAAGGGGAGTGGAAGATACAGGCTTCCAGTTATGGAATGAAAGAGAATAAAAGGTGCAACACAGGGAATATAGTCAGTGGTATTGTAGTAGCATGGTGACAGATGGTAGCTCTACTCCTGGTGAGCATAGCATAAGGTATAGAGTTGTTGAATCACTATATTGTACACCTGTAACTAATGTAACATTGTATGTATGTCAGTTATACTCAAAAAAAGTATTTTTGAAAGAAGAAAAAATAATAAAAAAATAAAGGGGTACCTTGACAGTAATAGTTCCCATACTTTTTTAAAAATTTTTATTGTTATGTTAATCACCATACATTACATCATTAGTTTTTGATGTAGTGTTCCATGATTCATTGTTTGTGCTCCATGCAGAACGTGCCCTCATCAGGCTAACCCGTCCTCCCACCTCCCTCCCCTCTAGAACCCTCAGTTTGCCTTTCAGAGTCCATCGTCTCTCATGGTTCGTCTTCCCATACTTCTTTTAATTTGCAAATTATGCAAACTATGATAGTTTTCATAGTTATTTCTTTTTTTAAGATTTTTTATTTATTTATTTGACAGAGCACAAGCAGTTGGAGTAGCAAGGAGAGGGAGAAACAGGCTCCCTGCTGAGCAGGGAGCCCAATGCGGGGCTCCATCCCAGGACCCTGGGATCATGACCTGAGCCGAAGGCAGTTGCTTAACCAACTGAGCCACCTAGGTGTCCCTTTATTTCTTATTAATGTTATTTTTATGGACTTTCATACAAACAGGTTTTTTTCCTTAAAAAAAACTAACTTAAAATATTTCTAATAGTAATTTCTATGAATATCAATTACATCTAATCATTTAGGCAAGAATCTAAGCTTCCGTTTTTAAAAATATTTACTTATTTAAGTAATTTCTACCCCCCAACTTGGGGCTTAAAGTTATGACCCTTGAGATCAAGAGTCGCATGCTCTTCTCCCTGAGTCAGCCAACCACCCCTAAGCCTCCTGATCTGTACATTGCTAGTGGATCAGTGATTTGATTTTTTGAAAACCCTATCATTCATTGTATGTAATGAATGTCATCATTCTTTGTTCAGAATATAATTTTAATTTGATCTTCATGGGTTTTCATTAAATATACTACCTAGCAGTCTGTAGATTGATCAATCTTCTGACAACAAGATGAAATCTTTTTAAATTTTTATTACTTTTTAGGGGCATCTGGGTGGCTCAGTTGTTAAGCATCTGCATTTGGCTCAGGTCATGATCCCAGCGTCCTGGGATCGAGCCCCACATCAGGCTCACTGCTCCGCGGGAAGCCTGCTTCTCCGTCTCCCACTCCCCCTGCTTGTGTTCCCTCTCTCGCTGGTCTCTCTCTGTCAGATAAATAAATAAAATCTTTTTTTAAAAATGTTACTACTTTTTAATTACTTTTGTTTAAATATTAAACTAGATGTACAGGAAAAGACATTAACTTCAATATTACTTTTCATAGTATTATTTTATCTCTGTCTTATACTCTGTGGTTTATAAAGCACTTTCATGTATGCTGAGGTCTTAGGAAGTTAATAAATGTTTCCCTTGTAATTGGAGTTAGACACATAGGAGTTAGAGAAATTGAGATGATACTGCCAACTTGACTACTGATAAAACTGTTAGAAGGAGGACTTTTTCATCCTAGAGTAGGATACATCCATCCACCCAGTCAGAGCAGCCTTCTACAATTGCAGGCCTCTTATCAACAGGCACAAACCATCTAAAACGTATGCTTTGTGCATGTAGGCAGTTGCAGAAGAGGGAGGAAGGAAGACTGGGCTAATCATGCCCAAGCCCTGGTTCCAAATCCTCTGTAGTTAAGTCATTCCTCCTCTCTAGTATTAATCGAAAGGAGTTTCCTATTAATAGTAGTACTACATTATCCCATTTGATCTTGACAACAAGTCTGTTATTAATAAAGTAGAAATGATTAGTTTCACTTTAATAAAATAGGGACAAACTGTTGAGAGTAGGAAATGATAGATAAGAGATAATCTGATTTTTTTGTTCATTGTTTTGAGCTGATATCTACTATAAAATATAGGAAAGAATTAATTTTTATCAACTTTAATAGTGTTTATACTTTTTAAGTTGTATAGCTTATAATTAGGGTTTGGCATATAGGCATTTAATTATCTTAAATTCACATAAAATTATGTTCATGCTTTCTGTCCCATAATAGACAGCTGCTTTTTTTCTTTTGTAATAGTTTACTGAGCTATAATTTGCAAACCATGCAAATGAGCCTTTTAACGTGCACAGTTTTATCATATTCACAAAGTTGTATGACCATCACCATTACCTAATTTTAGAACATTTTTATTGCCACCAAAAAAAGAAACCCTGTACTTCTTAACAGTCACTCTCCATTCCCCTGTTATCCGCGACCCTGGAAACCACTATTCTATTTTCTGTCTCTATGCATTTGCCTATTCTGGACATTTCATATAAATGAGATCATACAATAGGGGCACCTGGGTGGCTCAGTTGGTTGAGCAGCTGCCTTCAGCTCAGGTCATGATCTCAGGGTCCTGGTCTCCTTGCTCAGCGGGAAATCTTCTTCTCCCGCTCCCTCTTCCCCTCCCTCCCTCTCTAAATGTGTGTGTGTGTGTGTGTGTGTATAGAAGAAGTGGTAAGATTTGAAGTTAGTAGAGCTAGGCAAGATCTGTTTTATAGGAACTTGTGTGTTGAGCTAAAGAATTTGAATTTTAACCTGACCGCTTCAGGAAGCGTGAGGCTTGCACTTAGGCTTTAGAGTGTGGGGTATGAGGGAAGAGGAAAAGTAAACATATAAATAATACACAGTGAAACAAAGGGCCCAAAAAATCTTTTTATTTAAAAAATTTAAAATAAGAATGTTTGTTCCATTATGGGTTCCTGGTTTATGTTTATTTCCATGAATATAACCTTTATGAGAGGTTTGAGTAATTGGAATAGAAAGAGAAGTAAAAAGGAAATAGGTTAGTAAGAAGGGTTAGAATTGGAATGGGAGGTAGAAGGAAACAGGAAGATGAGAGGGAGGTAGAAGAGGAAGAGGGGCCAAAAGGTGATAGAGGTGGAAGGGAGGAGAGGAAACAGACACTTGATCTTCCAACTAGAGACACTCAGTGGAAAGAAGGCCTATTGCCAGAATTCATGTTGTGCTTTATGACATTGAAAAAGAAGGTCTGCTTTTACTTGCTGGTTTAACAATGACCATTGGATCCATTATCTGTTTTTGTTTGTTTGTTTTTGAGGGGATGGAAGAATTTTCCCCTTTTATATTCTTGACCTATTTCTATTTCTCCAGACAATACAGGTATACATGTTTTGTTTTGGTATATTGTATATATTATTTGGTGATACTATATCAAATTAAGAATATCAATTTTCATACTTTTTTAGTATCTACCCTCCTATGCTAATTTTTAAAATATAACAAAATTAATTACAGCTTTCTTCACAATAATGTATATTGGATTAAATCTGACTGAATTTAACAAGTGTCTACTTCCCTTATTTCTCTGTATCCCACAACTTCAGGAAAAGGATAATATCATTGAACAAACTTCCCTTCTCTTCACAGACATTATTAAAAAGCTTTACTAATTCTTTTGACATGCTGTTATTTTTCAGTATTCAGATATTCATTAATTTTTTTCAAGTTTATTTTTGAGCTGCTATTTGAAAAGCATCTAGAAGCACATTGTTTTTATAATACCAGAAAAGTGGCTGCTTTTTTTGTGTTAAAATTTTTAAAACAGTGTGATCACTTTCAAGAGCTGGCTTACTAATTACTTAAGATAAAAATAAAATAGTTAATGCTTAAATAATACTGACTTTAGTTCTGTTTAGTATGGTATCTGGGCTGTTAGGTAACCATTAAACTTTTTAATAGAAAAGACCTTTTAAGGTCAAAAGTTAAAAGTTCAATTATCTTGAACAGTAACAGACTAGTTCTTTGTGTAATGTAAGTACAGATATATAGAAGATATATACACGTACCTTCAGAGGATCCTCATTTGGCCATCATATGCCCTTAATACATAAAGGGAAAAAATGAGATAGAGAAAAAAAAAAGTTTTGATAAGCATCAGTGGAATGGAATTTCCACACAGTATTTGGAAATGGGGGGAAAGTTTTTATACTTTCCATTCATTTCATTAATATAATATATCCATATAATTTTCACCTCTTATTGTTTTCTAATCAAAATAATATTTACTGGGGCTCCTGGCTGGCTCAGTTAATGGAGCATACAACTCTTGATCTTGGGGTTTTGAGTTCAAGCCCCATGTTGAGTGTAGAGATTACTTAAAAAATCTTTTAAAAAAATTTACTGTGTTTTTCTTGAATATCCTTTAAAAACAGCTATCTAGTTCCAGTGTTACTCTAAAAAGCTATAAATAAGTTCAGTTAATTCTTCATTTAAAAAGGGCATATAGGGGGCACTTGGGTAGCTCAGTCATTAAGCATCTGCCTTCGGCTCAGGTCATGATCCCAGGGTCCTGGGATCGAGCCCCACATCGGGCTCCCTGCTCCGTGGGAGCCTGCTTCTGCCTCTCCCACTCCCCCTGCTTGTGTTCCTTCTCTTGCTGTGTCTCTCTCTGTCAAATAAATAAATAAAATCTTAAAAAAAAGAAAGACCAATTATCTATGAAGTATATGTTAAAAAAAAAAAAAGGGCATATAGGGCACCCAGGTGGCTCAGTTGGTTAAGCGACTGCCTTCAGCTCAGGTCATGATCCTGGAGTCCTGGGATCGAGCCCCGCATCGGGCTCCCTGCTCAGCAGGGAGTCTGCTTCTCCCTCTGACCCTCCCCCTTCTCATGCTCTCTCTCTGTCTCTCATTCTCTCTCTCAAATAAATAAAATCTTTTAAAAAAAAAAGGACATATAATTGCCAGTATTTGACGACTAACAGTTTCCATTCTCTTCATACTTTAACCCTGTTAATGGGTTCTAACCAGTGTATATGGGTATACATTCACAATTTCTTTTAAACTCTTAGACATTGCTAAAAGTGTCATTTGCCATTTAAATATTTAATAAGGACAGGATACTTGTTTATATCAGTAAGTGAGGCTAAATGCTGCAGTAACAAAAAAACTCAGTGGCACTCAACAACAGTTCTATTTGTCCCTCACTTTATGATAATATTGGCTGTGGTTTGGAAGCAGGTCCATTCTCTTTACTCTAGGATCCAGGCTGAAGAAGCTGCCCTTACCTAGGACATTGCCATTTTTGTAGTAGAGGGGAAAAAAGGAAATAGTGGAACCATGTGAGGTTATAAAAGCTTTTCCTTGGAACTGGCATATTATTTCAGTTGACATTTCATTATACAAACAAGTCACATGGCCAGTCCTGATGTGAGTGGAGCAATAATTATAGCCTTTCCACAAGGAAGGACCTAGGAAAAGAGAGGCAGTGAATATTTTGACAATAAAAATTTCCTATATGGTATTACTATAAAGATAAAATTAACTATTTAAATATATAAGTGTCTACGGAGAAAAAAGTTAAACTTTTCCTAAAGTTTAGTGGACTCTTTTATTAATTTAGAAGTTGGTGAGTTATACAGCCAAATTTAAGTTTACCTTTGCAGTGCTTATGTTGTGAGGGTTTACTAAAACAACGGATAGTGTAATCTATGTCAAAGTGCTTAACCTCTTGGGGAGCAGTTTTTTGAGTACTTAAAAGGTATTTATTTGCACCAGCATCTCAGAGAGTATTTTGGTGGAAAACTAGTCCTTAAGTGTCAATAAGGAAGAATGTTTTTGGAGTCAAATATATTGGGGAACCTATATACTGTATTCACTTCTTGGATATTTATAGTGTTTATCAGAATATTAAATACTTGGTGAAATCCTTTTGTTCATTTAGCTTTGCTTTAATCCATTATTTCCCAGATTTACTTGACTTAGGAATCTGTTTTGCTAAGCAATACCTATTAAATTTTCTTAAGGAAATCCTGGCATGAGAAAGTTGGTAGGCTAATTATAATTTATTCATTAGATGTGTGCCCTTGGTATTTACAACTTCTTTGTTTATTTTAGTAGTGGTCACTTAGTCTTTATGCACTAGTTTTTCAATTATTTTATTTTTTAACCTCATGTTATCCTAGTTCAGGGAGATCCTCTGATAGAAAAAACTATTCTGAATTGGATTCAGTCTGTTTTTAGGTGTTCTTTTGGTAAGGGGCCTCTGAGTCCTGGGTATAGATCCTTAAAGAAGCCCTCAGTACCACCCAGAGGAGATAGTGCCTCAGAAGTCTAGTAATTGCAAAAGCATAGCTGACATTTTTGAGGTTAGGATTGTGGGACAAGCTTGTTTTTAAACAGAATTTTTTTTAAATATGATTAAGACAGAATTTTTAAAAAAATTATTAAAACTAAATGCACATTTTAAAACTCGTCTATTATTCACATAACGATAAAACAAAGATGGCATATAATAAATTAAAACCCCATCTTAGACATTAATCCATCCCTACAAAATCTTATCAGAGTTATTAAAAATTAATAGGATTTTCCTGGATTTTTCTCTGTTAGGGTGAAAGTTAAGTTGCAGAGTAAAGGAAGTCAAATTCAGGGGTCAAAAAAGACAACTTCTAGAACTGATTTTAGAAAAGAAATAAGTGTTGGTGGTTCTTTTTATGGAATGCTTATGTGTACCCACAGCTCAGCCAGCAGGAGTGCCAGAAATCTTAAAGAAAAGCTTGCATAGCTGTTCGGTGAAAGGAGAGGAAGAAGTATTTTTAATCGGCAAGAACTTTCTGAAAGGAACTAAAGTTATTTTCCAAGAAAATGTTTCTGGTAAGTAGGCATAATATTGGTATGGAGATTGTCACATGTTCTACTTTGTTATAAAGATATAATAGCTACAGAGTAAAAAAAAAAAGTTTCAAAATTTTAGTAAATTATTGTTTTTATTTCAATCAGATGAAAACTCTTGGAAGTCAGAAGCTGAAATTGACATGGAATTATTTCATCAGGTATAATTTAAGCCTTTTTGTAGTTTAATTATTTACTCTCTGAGAAATTCAGTTTTGTTCTGAAATTTTCCTGAATCAACAGATTAAATTTCTTCTTTATGTGGGATTCATATAAATCATTTAAGTTTCTTTCTTGAATTTCTGTAACTGAAAATTCCACTGATACTAGAAATGACAGTTTTCTATTTTTAAAAGTTAGAAGCATTAGTAAATTATCATTGTTAATAATTGAGACATTTATTTCCTAATATTTGTTTTTTCTGAGGATTTGGATTATCCTAGCCTACTATTTAGTTAAATCAAAGGGAAACTTATTTATTGAGTACCTGCTGTGTCAGGTGTTTTATGTTTGTTACCTTTTCACAGAGGCACTGTTTGTTAAACTTATATTAAAGAGTCTGTATTTGTAGGACCTCACCATAAATTGTTTTCAAAATGACAAGGAAAAAGAGGTTGAAAACAAGTATAAAAAACTGGCTTAAGAATTAGAATGTAGAAAAAAAAAAGAATTAGAATATAGAACAAATAGTACCAAATTTACAGAAGTTGAGACTAGCAGGAAAGCAGGACAAATTTATGAACAAATCAGATAGAAGGCATATGCAGAAGAATAGCATATATAGGTATAGATCGTGGAGAAAGAACAGCTTGCAGCAAAGCAGGGACAAACTAATGTGTAAAATACCCAAAGCCTAAAATTTACCATTAAATGCTGATGGGAGTAGAAAAGAGCACATGAAAACAAGCAGAGAGATGGAAGAGGCAAAAATTAGAGACTCGCCAATTTATCAAAAAAGTTTATAATTTTTAGTTTTTAAATTTTTTTATTCCTTTTTATTTTTTAAAAAATAAAATTTAAAATATGTATCCAATAAAATACATTGCCAAACTCAAAGCTGAGGGCACAGTGTTGGCTCATTTCAGATAGAAGCCACAAGTTCAGGTATCTCCTGACCACTCTCAGTTTTGAACAGTTGGCTTCAAATTTGGGGTTTCCCACTCCCCACTTAGATCTGCTAGAATAACTCACAGGACTGAGGAAACACTATATTTAATTTCAGTTTTAGTATAGCAAAATGCGACAAATCAGAACCAGCCAAAAGGAAAGACAGACACATAGAGCAAGGTCTGGGAGGTCCCAAAGGTGAAGCTTCTGTTGTCCTCAGGATGCCTTACATCTCAGCACATCTGTGTGTGACAATATGCAAAGTATTATCAATCAGGAAACTCACCCAAGCCATTGGTGTCCAGAGTTTTTGTTGGGGCTTAGTCACATACTGCTCATGCAGCTCACCTGTAGTCTCCAATTCCATCAGAGGTTGAAACTGATGGGACATTTGAAAGTCCCCTTCATAAATCACATGTTAGACTGTCCAGTGGCCAAAGCCCCCAGTCAGAGATATTCCTATCAGGCAGGAATTTCTAGGGTCTTAAGAGATTACCTTTCAGGAGCCAAGGACAAAACTAGACCTTAGGGTAAAGTTAATTCTTCACAAAATAGTATCCTATGAAGTGGAGCTTCTTACATACCTAGACAAATGCTATATAGAAAGTTTTCCTCTGGCTTTATGCTACTACATGCTGTGAAAAAGAGATACTAGGACATAACAGTCATTCCTTTGTCACATATACTGTTGGACAATCTCTGTCTTAACTGAAGTTATAGCACTTAATTTGTTACTAACAGTCTTTGTTACCTAAATAAGACAAGTCACTTTTGTGCCCCAGTTTTCTAATCTATAAATTTTTACTAAATTATTTGAGAGGTTCCTTCCAACTCTGACATTTTATGATTTCTTGTATAACTTAATTGATCAGACCATTCCCACTCCCCATGAATCAACAGTGGCTTCCTCCCAAGGACTCCCAGAGGTTAGGGGCAATGTATTATGACTCTTCTGTGTTCCTCATAATATTAAGCACTTAACAGATACTCATGAAAAACTTGTTAGTTCATTTTATTCACTTGGAAGAAAATGAGGACTCTCGGGTCTGAGGTTCCTTATTCTTTTTGAAGGCACTTCAAACCCTGATTTCAACCAGGCTCTCACATGCCTATAGTTTTGGTCCTGACTGAAGCTTAATTTATCCGTGTAATACTTCTATGTGTGCCACAAACATGTTTTGTTTTCTGATGAGTTGGTTACATTAATGTAAACTCCTTTGCTAGTAATATTCTGTTACAATTTCTCTTCCTTACCTTATCCTATGACTAGTTCTGGAGACTGAGAACTTGCCCTGTACATTATATAAAATATTAATTAAGATAGCCCCAACAAATCATAGTCTTAACTTGCTGTTTCATGTAGAACTTAATGTTAAGAAGTCTTTGTTTCTTCTCCTCCTCTTCCTCTTCATCATCTGCCTCCTTCTTCCTCCTCCTCTTCTTCCTCTAACTTTTCCTCTCCTTCTTCCTCTCTCGTTCTTTCCTTCCTTTTTTCCTTCCTTCTTTACCTTTGAGGCATGGGGTAGTTAATATTCTTAAAACACTTTTTTTCAGGGTAGTTATGCCAGCTACAATAGATTAAAGAAGATTAATCATAAAAATAAGACATGGTGGAATGGAAAGGAATTAATGTCCTTATTTGGTGGCTATATCTAGAGGTCCTGGGGTTTTTGCAAGCAAGTATGTATAACAAACTAAAACATAATATGATCTTTCATTAAGTCTGTGGTTCTGCTGTTCATTTTTAAATTTTAATCTTTTTCAGAGAGCTTTCTGTCTTTTTTTTCCTAAGGGACTTTCTGGGAAGTGTTTTAAAATGGGATCACAGTGGAGATATAAAGAATCGATCCAACAGATTATATTAAAGGAAAAAAACCAAAAATTAAACACTTAGCGGTGCCTGGCTGGCTCAGTTGGTGGAGCATGTGACTCTTGATCTAAGGATTGTGGGTTTAGCCTCTGTGTGGAGATTACTTAAAAAAATAAAATCTATTTAAAAAAAAATTTAGAGGGAAGGGTACTCAGAAAACAAAAGAAAAGAAATTGTAGTCCATAAAGAAAGATCAGGACTATACAGAAAAGCTGAAAGGACCTCTACAATATTAAAAAATGACCAAAAGATGGTGTCGTAGAAAACACCATTTAAAGATAACTTTGCAAATTGCCATTTTCTTACTGTGATAACTATTCATTTCCAACCCCAAAATCAACTCCTCAGGTATTAAACTTTTTTATTATTTAAAAATTTAAAAGTTGAGGGGTGCCTGGCTGGCTCAGTCAGAGGGGCATGTGAATCTTGATCTCGGGTTTGTGAGTTCAAGCCCCATGTTGTGTGTAAAGATTAAGAATGAATAAAACTTTAAAAACAGACTTAAAAATTGAGATTAATGAAGTCTGAGAAAACAGTTCTTTGTTTAATATCTGTCTCTTCTATTCAAAGCCATAATATGTCTCAGGCACATGTATACCAAATGTGGTAAGCACAGGGTCATTATATCTATTACCATTTTAACAATTTCAGATAAATTCTGTAGGAATTACCTATTAAATATATACAAAAGATATAGATCTTAAAGATCAATCTCTAAGATCTCTTTTACATATATATAGATAATATATAGTCTCTTTCTCTCTATGAATATGTGTATATATACATATAGTCTTAAAGATAAGTTGGTTTTGAAAGCAAGAGTTTCACAACTTGAAATATGGAGGTGATTTAAAAGGAACTAAGAGCTAAAAATGGGTATATTAGATACTAAGAAGCATACAATTTGATTTGAGAATAACTTGTTTTATAAAACATAAAATAGGTATTAGGTATCAAAAATACAGTTGTGTAGATTGTTATTTCTCAGTCTTTAGTCTTCTGGGTTCTTTCTATTACATTCTTTAGAGGGAAAGAATAAAAAAATAAGGAGAAGCTTTGGAGTTTTGGAGAAGATGGAATTTTTAGTATAAATATGGAAAGAAAGTTCTTGAAAGAAATGCCAAAAGAGATCCTCAGAATTTTTGGGAACATCTAGACTAAACAAAGGCTTGAGAGTTTAGAGGTTATATATTTTCAAATGATTTTATTAGGAATTTTGTTTTGTTATGTGTCTCTGATTATTTATATGTATATATATCCCCAACTGAAAAATGAATGTGGCAGTGATAAATTATCATTTAGGAGAATGAAAAATATCTAGCACCATTCCTTATAAGTTCTAAAAAAGATTATCTGCTGAGAAGAAGAAAATTGTTATTTTGATTCCAAGCAGATTTTTCTAAGAAATTAAAATTAAGATTGCTTCTATTTTTACCCTAGAGAACATTGAACCTGCTCCAAGGACCTCCCAGCCCTTTGTATATTTTACCTGTATTGTGCTCCTAGCTTAATGGTAGTTAATTTCTCTTAATTTATTAAAATAGTATATAAAAACAACTTTGTATCACTATTCATAATTTACTTAGTTTTTAATTCAAATCACTTATAGAATTTCTAGATTCAGATTGAGGGAGTACAAACGAGTAGTATCAAAATAGGTTCATTTGGTTTTTTAAAGGTTTCATATTAGGTTTATTTAACTATGCTCTCCAATGCAAGTGGAATAAAAGCTTTTAAATAAAATATGCATCAGACTTTTAGATACTAAATCTGTTGCTGATTACCAAGAAACAAGATTTTATTCAGAAGAATAATTTCAATTACAGAATTTGCCAAATAATTTTAAGACTGGGAGGATACTTCACAAGTCTATCCATTCAGCTGTCTCTTTAACTGTAGGTAGGACTGCTTTGTGACATGGTTACAGTGCTTAAACAAAAGAGTAATGTTAAGAGTAGACAGGATTTTAAAACTTTATTAGAAGTTGGATCAGTGCAAATACATTTTTTGATGACTTCATGTGCATTTGAATATGTGCTTTCAGATTTTTGTTCCCCAATATCTGTGAATACACATATGTATACATGTTTTTTCATCTGCCTTAAAAAGTGATTTTTTTTTTTTGAGATTGCTAACTTGCCTTAGGAGGCATAATGCCATAAATCAGAAGCTGTTTCTTTATTTATAATGTGACTATTTCAGAGACTGTTTTAAACCGGCTTAGAAACAAATTTAAGTTCACAAAAATTGAAACCTTGACCTTGGTCCCACTTGTCACTTGTTCTGTCAGCTGAGTCCACCAACTGTAGTCTAGCTAAATAAAAAATGTCATCAAACTCATGCCATCCTCGTTTGTCAACATTGGCCTCCTGCTTGTCGCATCCTCAGTAGAAAAACATAATCACTGCCCCTTAATATTCCTTCCCATTACTGTAATATACTAGGGAAGAAGAGCAAAACTCATATGTGGTTCATGGTATCCTCCAAGAAGATGGAGGCCCCTTGAGTGAGTGCTGATGAAGCATTTATGAACTTTTTGCTTATGAGGATGATTCTGCCACTATCCCAACAAAAAAATAACTTTGCTAGAGTTCGGGTATACTGAACTCTATTTGACTTTAAATGAGAAAGTGGTTAGGAAGCAGTTGTGAACTGCATTGCGAAGTACATCTCACAATTAATGTTTTACAAAACATATAACTGACATTGTGCTTGGTGGACATATTTTTTTTTCTCAAAATTTATTCATTCTTTTATTCAACTAGTACATTTGAGTGTATTTGGTGTAAGGTGCTTAAGAGTGGATATAGAACAAAGAACAAAACATCCTAGGTTCTTATGGAGCTTAAATTCTTGTGATTGGAGAGAGACAAAAAACAAATACAATAATTTCAAGTGGTGATAAATGCTATTTTAAAAATAAACAAGATTATGTGACCAGGTTGGGAAGGGGTGCTACTTTAAATAGGATGGTCATAGAAGGCCTCTCTGTGGAGGTTAACATTTTGAATAAGACCTGAAAATGGGTTAGAAACTAGCCATTTGAAGAGATGAAAGAAGAATATTCCAGGGGGAGAAACCAGCAAGTAATAATAACTGTGAGATAAAAAATGAATTTAGTGTGTTCAAAGAATGGAGTGAGAAGGTCATTGTGGCCAGAGTATAACAAGCCTGGGGGGAATGGAAAAGAGATACAGTTGATAGGAGAAGCACCTTGTAAGCCACTGTAAAACATTAAAAGCAATTTTAAGATTAATGTCCTGATGCCTATGAAACCTGATCTTTAAACTGCATTTTTTTTTCTAGTCAGACTTTTTACGCTTTACAGCTAACAGAAAATGTACTTAATTATAATTATTTCAAATTTTTAATTTAAATATTGCTCCTTTTTTAACTCTTGTTATTGCCTTTAAATTTAGAATCATCTTATTGTGAAGGTTCCCCCATATCACGACCAACATATAACTTTGCCAGTATCAGTGGGAATATATGTAGTGACCAATGCTGGAAGATCTCATGATGTTCAGCCATTCACTTACACTCCAGACCCAGGTATGTCAAAATAAAAAATTCTGAACTAAAATCAATAATCAATTTCTAGTTCTTTGGAAGCATATTGAAGACCAGCCAACCAAGAAGAAAAAGTTGTGTGCTAAGATGAATTGATACTAAGGACATTATTTCCTAAGAAGATGGCCACCTGTTTTTACTCTTGCGTTAAGGGTATTATTTCTGCCTATGCTCTAATAGTAAAAAGAAAAACTAGGAATGCTCTGAAGTCCTACTCTTCAGAATTATATCATGCAGATTACTTCTTAGTAAGAATTACCATTCATTAAGTACCTCTTATGTGTGGAAAGGTCAAAGCGACAACCTTGGGAAACTTAATAGTTTAGTCTGTGTCTGGCTTATAGGATGCATTTTGGGAGAGGTGAGAGATAAGCTTGGATTGATAAATGATAAAATCACAAATAGAGTTACATGCATGTAACAGATCCTAATTCATGTAGTAGTCAAAAATATCAAAAGACTACTGGATTTTAATAAATATTTTAAATATAATTTCAAGCATCTAGGTAAAGTAGTTACTTCAGAAACCAAAGCAATAAGAACACTTGAAATGTTTATAAGTTTAAAACATCTCTGGGTAAGAAGTATCTTAAGAATTTTTTGCCTAGGGCGCCTGGGTGGCTCAGTTGGTTAAGCAACTGCCTTTGGCTCAGGTCATGATCCTGGAGTCCTAGGATTAAGTCCCACATCAGGCTTCTGGCTCAGCAGGGAGCCTGCTTCTCCCTCTGACCCTCTCCCCTCTCATGCTGCTTCTCTCTCTCTCTCTGTCTCTCTTTCAAATAAATAAAGTCTTTAAATAAAAAAAAAAAATCTGTTAAAAAAAAAAAAGAGGGGCGCCTGGGTGGCTCAGTCGTTAAGCGTCTGCCTTCGGTTCAGGTCATGATCCCAGAGTCCTGGGATCGAGCCCCGCAGGAAGCCTGCTTCTCCCTCTCCCACTCCCCCTGCTTGTGTTCCCTCTCTCGCTGTGTCTCTCTCTGTCAAATAAATAAATAAATTCTTTTTTTTTTTTAAAGATTTTATTTATTTACTTGAGACAGAATGAGAGAGAGAGCACATGAGAGGGGGTAGGGTCAGAGGGAGAAGCAGACTCTCTGCCGAGCAGGGAGCCCGATGTGGGACTCGATCCAGGGACTCCAGGATCATGACCTGAGCCGAAGGCAGTCGCTTAACCAACTGAGCCACCCAGGCGCCCAATAAATAAATTCTTAAAAAAAAAAAAAAGATTCTCTCTTTCCCTCTCCATCTGCCCTTCCCCACATCCCCGCTCACACACTCTTTCTCTCTCTCTCTCTCTGAAAAAAAAAAAAGGAAAAAAAAGAATTTTTTGCCTACATTCATTTAGTTGTCTGGAGAAGAAAAGCCTTTTCCTAGCAAAAGTAGGGAGAACATTTTGGAAAATGAAATTCTTCACCTATTCCATTGACCTAGGCTTAGTTTCTGCCATGTTTACCATTGGTTCAGTTCATTCCAGTCTCAGGCACACTTCAGAACTAGCAGTACTTCCATGTTTTTAAGCTCATCATTTATGTTATTCCCAAATAGTTCAGGATTCAGTGAGGTACAAAGTGAATAATGGTGGCCAGGAAAAAAAAGCCCTGGCAAGAAAAAGCGATGGAAACAGTAGCTAAGACAGAGTTATATCTAGTCCTGATAATTACTTTCTATCACTTAATGTATCTCTCCCCTTTTTAATTTTTTTCTTTTTTTTGTTTTTTAAAGATTTTATTTATTTATTTGACAGAGAGAGAGACAGCGAGAGAGGGAACACAAGCAGGGGGAGTGGGAGAGGGAGAAGCAGGCTTCCCGCCAAGCAGGGAGCCTGATGCGGGGCTGGATCCCAGGACCCTGGGATCATGACCCGAGCCGAAGGCAGACGCTTAACGACTGAGCCACCCAGGTGCCCCTCTCCCCTTTTTAAAAAAATTATGTCTGAATTTCACAGCATTTGTTCATTATCCGCCAGTTTGCTACAAAAGTATGCCATAGTATATAGCATTAATGAAATTAATATTTGTTTCAGAATAAAAGATCAGCAGTAAAATTTTCAGGCAGGAAAAGGCAAAGTTTAGAAATGATATACTGGTTTCAACAAAAATAGGAAAGAGAAGATACTCAAAGACCAAATATTTGATTGTTTTCTTTCTAGAAAGGTCTCAAAAATCCAAGAAAGTTTGACTTAAAACTAATGATAGTTAAAGCATTTTAGTAACTGCTAATTACTTAAATAGTGGCATTTAATATTTTTTGTGAAGAGGAGCTTACTCATGTGGGGAGAAAGCTGGCATAATTGATACAGAAGAACATTTTTCCTAATGAGCTTCTCTATCATCTGTGTGGGAAGGGACGAGGGAAGTGTATGTGTGTGGTCAGGGAATAGCCTTAAAGATTTTGCAGTCCTGAAAATACTGACATTTTGTGGTTGTTTGTTTTTATTGATTAATTACGAAGAGCATCAGGACTTTGAAGTACTTAGCATTAGCACTAAGAATCCTCATTTCTTAGTGATACATGCTGATGATTAGAAATCTCCCTTTGAAAAATTGCCGGATAAAACAGCTTTTAAGTCTTCTGCATATACTAATTGGCTATCTTTGGCCACATTTAGGCAATCATTAACATATGTTTATTCTTTTAAGTTTTTCCTTTCATGTTTTGTATTCAGTAGATAGCAATCACTCTCAGAAACTCTTAAAATAAATACATAGTGTGCAAGTTGTAATAGGACCTCATGCTTCAGTTTCTGCCTTTATGTTATAGCTAATTAAAGAATCTTCTTATAATTTCACTTTTTTGTGTTTTACAAAATATAATATTTTCAGGTGTACATGAGAGAGAATATGATTTTAGGAGAACTTGGTTATAGAAAATTTGCACTATCTCATTATGATAAACCAGTTGCTGTTGTGATTCATCTGGGGACTGTGGTTAAACATTTGAATATTCATGATACATAATTATAACAGCAAAAACTAGGCCTACCCTAATATTCGCAAGTCAGCGTAGAAATGGCAATATTATACTATTTGTCTAAATATTTAAAAGTTATAATTAAACTAGCAACTTAAATATATCCTATCCTCCTAATTTGACTAAGATACTTTCATATCAATCTGGAAGACGAGATGAATTTCGGATTGTCAGAATGCTTGGGAGTTCCAAGCCGAATATGGTAAAATGAGGAAAGAGGATTCCCCACCCTGCCAGCCTTCTTTTCCCTTTCTTTTTTTTTTAAGATTTTATTTATTTGAGAGAGAAAGCATGAGGGGAGGAGGGTCAGAGGGAGAAGCAGACTCCCTGCTGAGCAGGGAGCCTGATTTGGCCTCAATCCCTGTACACCAGGATCATAACCTGAGCCAAAGGCAGTCGCCCAACCAACTGAGCGACCCAGGCACTCCTTTCTTTTCCCTTTTTCAACTTCATTCTATACCTAGGGAGTGCACCAACAAGTGCTTCCAAGCTCTGTTCGCTCTGTAGGCCTAAGACTATACACATAGTCTAAAATAGTTATGCAGAAAATTTGGAGATCTTGGGTACTTGGTACATGGTCTAAAAGTAGGATTGGGGCAAGGGTTCAGCATAAATTGGCTCTGCACACTTTGCCAGACAAGAGCCCCTCTAAAGCCCTCTGAGTCTAGTATTGCTAAAAAATACATTGCATCTGTATGTTCTCAAGAATTTAGATACTTTGCAAGGCCATAAAACTTTGTTTCATTGCTAGTTAGTCCCCAAAGCTTTTACTTCAGTCTATTAAGGCACATAAATCACATTAGCTGTTTTTTGTGGTGACTCAGCATTGGTGATTTCTGTAAGAAATGAGGGATATAATATTTATTCATTTTTTTTGTTGCTCTAACAACAACTGACTAAAACTTGATTTTAAAGAGTCAAAATTTAGGGGCGCCTGGGGGCTCAATCTGTTGGGCATCTGCCTTCAGCTTGGGTCATGATCTCAGGGTCCTGGAATCGAGCCCCACGTCTGGCTCCTGGCTCAGTGGGGAGCCTGTTTCTCCCTCTCCCTCTGCCTGCCGCTTTCCCTGCTTGTTCTCTCTCTCCCTGTCAAATAAATAAATAAAATATTTTTAAAAAAAGAGTCAAAATTTAAAGTGTTTTCAAAGATTAGTTTCTATTTTAAAATCTGTAATTGTTGGAGCACCTGGTGGCTCAGGTGGTTAAGCATCCAACTCTTGATTTCAGCTCAAGTTATGATCTCAGGGTCATGAGATCAAGCCTGAGTCATGCTCCATACTGGGCGTGGAGCCTGCTTAAGATTCTCTTTCCCCTCTGCCCCTCCCCACCCCACTCACACAGGCACTTTAAATAAATAAATAGGGCGCCTGGGTGGCTCAGTTGGTTAAGCCACTGCCTTGGGCTCAGGTCATGATCCTGGAGTCCTAGGATCGAGTCCCGCATCGGGCTCCCTGCTCAGCAGGGAGTCTGCTTCTCCTCTGACTCTCCCCCCTCTCATGTACTCTCTCTCTCTCTCTCATTCTCACTCTCTCAAAATAAATAATAAATAAATCTTTAAAATAAATAAATAAATAAAATCCGTAATTGCTGGAATTAATGTTATGCTTTAAAATTGTGGATTTCTTTTCCATTCAATTCCCTGTATTTGTTGGACCTCCTATGTAGCACACTAAGATAAATTATTTAACTTCATTCTTAGATGTGTATATTTTGTCTTTTTATTCACAATTAACTAGCTCTTTATAGTCTCTTTATCATTTCACATTGTCATGTCAAAAATAAGAAATAAGGTGGGGCTCCTGGCTGGTTTAGTCGGTAGAGCCTAACACACTTGATCTTGGGGTTGTTAGTTTAAGGCCCACATTGGGTATACAATTTACTTAAAAATGAATAAATAATTAATAAAATTTTAAAAGAAATTGCAAGTAAGGTGACTCAGTTCCTATTCTGAATAAGTTAGGGAATACAAAATAAATACATTGAAAAATATAAATTAAAATACTTAAATTATTGTATAGGCATTTTAAGCAAAAACGTGGAATTTATTTAACTTTATCATTTCAGAACTGAACCCTATTCTTAGGCCCATTAAATTTTAAGTTGCCATAGTAGCTGTAGTTGATATGACTAGATGTAATAGTCCAGCAATTCTCCATTAATAATATACAAAGATTACTTTTTCCAAATCTTTACAAAAGGAATAATCATAATGTTACAGATTCTGTATGTTCATCACAGCTTTTTTAAAATTTAGCTCAATTAATTGACCAATGTTTCTCAATCAGTATTTTTTAATAAATCATTTATGTAGATGAATGGTGAATTTTTGTTATCTGGTATTACAGTATATTTGATAATTTTTAAAAAGTTTCATGTCTGTTTTGGGCACCTGGGTGGCTCATTCAGTTAAACCGGCATCCAACTCTTGATCTCAGCTCAGGTCATGATCCTCAGGGTCGTGAGTTCAAGCCCTGCATTGGGCTCCATGCTAGCATGGAGCCTACTTAAGGAAGAAAAAAAAAGTTTCATATCAGTCTTCTACTCATATCATCAGTGTGAATACTGTTACAAGAAGGATTTTTTTAAGTTGCTGTTGCTTTTGTTTTCATAAGTGAGCATGTACTACTGCCCATTTGGTTGATGAATTTTAGGGCATAAATTGGTGGTTCTAAAAACTCATTCCTCTGCACCAAAAACTAATGATGTAATATATGGTGATTAACATAACAATAAAAAAATTTTAAAAAAAATAAATAAAAACTCATTCCTGGGGCACCTGGGTGGCTCATTCGGTTAACATCTGCTTTCAGCTCAGGTCATGATCCTGGGGTCCTGGGATTGAGCCCCACATCGGGCTCCTTGCTCAGCGGGGAGCCTGCTTCCACCTCTGCCTGCTGCTCCCCCTGCTTGTGCTCTCTCTCTCTCTCTCTCTCACAAATAAATAAATAAAATCTGTTAAAAAAACAAAACAACCCCTCATTTCTGCTTAGATTTTTCTGCTAAACAAATAATTTAATATGTTTTATGGGAAATATTTCAATTAAAGATTTTTAAGATACACTTTTTTTTTAGGAAAAGTTTAAATACATCCATCTTTCTATTTTGTTTTGCTTCTATAGCAGCAGCTGGTGCTTTGAATGTAAATGTGAAGAAAGAGATATCTAGTCCTTCAAGACCTTGCTCTTTTGAAGAGGCCATGAAAGGTACCAAGTCGATTCTTTCCAAAAATTATAAATAGGTGATCCTATTTATTTTGTCTAGCGACTCTTACTTATTATGTTTTCTCTTATGTACTTGGAATACTTAGCAAGATATCTTCCATATCACAAAATAAATATTTGTTTAACTTTATTGAATGCGGAAACTTGTTTCCCAACTTGATATTTCCCTTTATTCACCATATGAAAAAACTGTTTTAAAGCATAAGTTGGAGTAGAGGAGATTTTTTTTTTTATGTTTTTCATTCCCCAATGTTAGAAATGTTGAAAGTATAAAATATAAAGTTTTTGTAAAATAGAGTCTATAAAGCTTCTTGCTACCAAAATTAGTACTTGACATTGAAATTTTGAAACTGAAGAGACCAAAATTTGAACTATTTTGAAAAAGTTCAACATTTGAAAAGTTTCTTTAGGTTTCCTTCTGACATCTTTATTTACTCCCTGCCAATCCCAAGAAACAATGAAGATATCTTCAGGATGTTATAATGTAACACAGATTAGATCTTCCTTCCTTCTTCCTTCCTTCCTTCCTTCCTTCCTTCCTACCTTCCTTCCTTCCTTCCTTCCTCTCTCTTTCTTTTTCTCTCTCTTCCTCTCTTTCCTTTTTTTTTTTTCTCCAGCTTACAAACTTTACTCTGTGCCCAGCCTCCAATACCTTGGGCGGTGGGGAGGCCAGAATGGAGTATATTTTTTTCTTAAGAGATTTCTAACACAACTAGATAGTCAGTGGTGATGCTTTTTTGCCATTACATATGAAGATGTCAATTACATAATGGCCATTGATGTATTATAATTCTAGTCTTTATATTTTTCTGCCATGAAATTCATGAGTTAAATTAAATTTTAAAATTAAAAATACTTAATGAAATACAATGGATTTTTTTATATTGTCAGTAGTAAAATTCAGCATTCATATACATAGCATAGAATAGTTAGTATAATAGTATAGTTTGTCATTTAATTTCTGAACATGAACACTTCTAGAGTAGATTAGTGAGGAATTATGCAATAGTAAGTAAACTGCCAAATTTATCTGATTGAACTACAGGAAAATTTACAAATCTGTATAATGGATAACCATAGCTTTCATTTATCGAATGTATATTAAGTGCTAGGCAATATGCCATACTCTTTACTGGCACTGTCTCATTTAATTTTCCAAACTCTATGAGGTAGGTAATTATTATTCTCATTTCACAGATGAAGAAACCAGCGTTCCAGAGAGGTTAAATAATTTGCCAAAGGTCACTTAGCTAGTGTTAAAAAAGGATAGGTTGTGGGATGCCTGGGTGGCTCGGTTGAGCGGCTGCTTTCGGCTCGAGTCACGATCCTGGGGTCCTGGGATCGAGTCCCACGTTTGGGCTCCTTGCTCGGTGGGGAGCCTGCTTCTCCCTCTGCCTGCTGCTCCCCCTGCTTGTACTCTCACTCTCTCTCCCTTTAGCGAATAAATAAAATCTTTTTTAAAAAAAGGATAGGTTAAGCTCTAGTGTGGAAGGTAACACATCTAAGCAAAAATAATTTAAACCATGTTTATTAAATGAATAAATCCATAATTAATGAATCATTAAAGAAAGTCAGGGATATCTGTGGTCTGTTTTTGCCAACTTTGCCATCCATGCTTTTCTCCAAAACTTTTTTTTTAAGATTTTATTTATTTATTTGAGAGAGAGAGAATGAGAGATACAGAGCATGAGAGGGAAGAGGGTCAGAGGGAGAAGCAGACTCCCTGCCGAGCAGGGAGCCCGATGTGGGACTCGATCCCAGGACTCCAGGATCATGACCTGAGCCGAAAGCAGTCGCTTCACCAACTGAGCCACCCAGGCGCCCCTCTCCAAAACTTTTTGATGGTACTTTCATAGAGTATCAGACTGATGGGACACTAATCTAATCCAGTGTGAAATTTCTCATACAGGATAATGAGTTGAAGGTTAAAAAGTTTTAGCTGTCACATTTAAGTTTTAGTAATAAATGATTTAGTCATTTGATCAAAATCTTAAAAGGCTAAAACAAATGGATAAGAAACAAACACACACATGTTATTTTTCACAATTCAAACCTTATCTTGACAGTTTTATCAAGTGAAACGATGGTAGAATTTTTTTTGATGATAGAAAATGAAATTGAATACTCATTGATTTAAATTTTTCACTTGTCAGGGACGCCTGGGTGGCTCAGTCGGTTAAGCGGCTGCCTTTGGCTTGGGTCATGATCCTAGGGTTCAGGGATGGAGTCCTACATCAGGCTCCTTGCTCAGTGAGGAGCCTGCTTCTCTGTCTGCCTGATCTGCCTGCTGCTTACCCTGCTTGTGCCCTCTCTGTCTCTCTGGCAAATAAATAAATAAAATCTTTAAAAAAAGAAAAAAAGATTTAAATTTTTTACTTGTCATTTTTTTTTAAAGATTTTATTTATTTATTTATTTGACAGAGATAGCGAGAGCAGGAACACAAGAAGGGGGAGTGGGAGAGGGAGAAGCAGGCTTCCCGCTGAGCAGGGAGCCCGATATGAAGCTTGATCCCAGGACCCTGGGATCATGACCTGAGCCGAAGGCAGATGCTTAACAACTGAGCCACCTAGGTGCCCCTTTCACTTGTCATTTTAAATGGAATATCATTATTTGGAGATTCCTGATCAATGAAGAAAAAATTGTACCTTTCAGAACCAGCAGCTTTCCTTGACATATGGCTTATTCTTATGATCCCTTGAAATCAGAGCTTTAGTATAATGCCAAGGTGTCATCTGAGAGATTTAATTAAGTATACTTTAATGAGGAAGACTGAGCAACATAAATGACTTTTAAATTTGTGTTCTGGCAGGAATCTTCCAAGTAACATTCTTATAAATAGCCATCAATTACATTAAGATTTAGAACTTGATAACAAAATAATGATATTATTGAAAGATACTGAAAGCTTTTACTTTAAAGTAAGTTTCTAATTCTTTAGAGAGGGTTTGGAGGGAGTGGGTGGAGAGTAAGGAGGATAACTGCTCAGCTCACTCAGTGAGATATTAAATCTAGAGCCAGAATATCATGGTTCATTTTTGGTTTTACTCAACTGTGTATATGTTCTTAACACAAAAGTAATACAAGTTAAATAATATCAAGTGTATAGTGTAAATTACTGTTAACAGTGTTTTGAGCATATTTCTGGGAAGTTTTCTGTATCTATGTAGGGACAGGTAGACATGAGGGGACACTCTAGAAATATGGCTCAAAGACTCTGTGATACAGGTTTAGGACCCAGGGATAAAGTATAGTTGACCCTCGAATAACACAGGTTTCAACTGCGCAGGTCCACTTATATGCAGGTTTTTTTCAATAAATATAGTGTGTTTCCCTATGATTTTGTTAATAGCGTTCTTTCTCTAGCCTACTTTATTGTAAGAAAACAGTATATAGTACATATAACATAAAATATGTGGTAATCAACTCTTTATGTTATTGGTTAGGCTTCTGGTTAACAGTAGGCTATCAGTAGTTAAGTTTTGAGAGAGTCAAAAGTTCTATGTGGATTTTCAACTGTGTGTCATGATGAGTGCCTCAACCCCCACATTGTTCAAGGGTCAACTTGTATTGATGTGCATTCTCTTAGTTTCGGTTTTGTAAGGAGTGGATGAGTATGTAATAATTGAGAGCATATACTTTTCTCTGACTGATTTTAGCTATGTGGAAAGGGTTAGGAGTGTGGAGGAGCCGTATCTCAATCTCATTTTACAGGTGAATATACCAAAGCTTAGAGAAGTGCTCAAGGTGGCACAGCTAGTAACTGACAGAGCTTGGAACTTAGATTTTTCCCACACCTCTGTTTTTTTTACTCTATAATTTCTTCCCTTATAAATCTTAACCGATATTTTAAACAAGCATATTTGTACTTGACCTAAATGCTGCTTGCTGTTAACAAACCTGTAGTAAAGATTGTTCTAAGTTTCAAAGATTATTTGGCATGGGTGGAAGTGAACACTGTTGAAAAGTTGTTTGGCATAAATGGTCAATACCATTTTCCACAAATTCAAATTGATATTTGGATGGTTAAATATGTCTATCTTACTTACCTTGTGAATTTTCTGAATTGGCCTAAAAGTTCTCCCCTAGCCCTTACATAATACGCAGACTTCACATGTTTGATTTTTTTTTTCCCCCTCCTTCACTAAAATGTAATTTCTGGGCAGTAGGACTTTATCCATCTTAATCATCACTGGAACCTGAAACGGTGCCTGAAACTTTGTAAAGGATCATAAATATATAATGAGAATGTAGGAAGGAAAGATAGGATGACCTCTCTCAAGCCATTTAATATGGTTTACAGGTCCATTAAAGATAATAGTTGTGGGTTCTGGGACATAATATTATAGACTTACTTTTCCCTGTCCCTCCCGTCTAAATCTACCAAATTACCTTGGAAATAATTGAATAATCATAAAAGCACTTTGAAATACAGAGAGAAGAAAGTAGACTGGCTAGGGACCTTAGAACTTGAAGATTGACACCAAGTGAGTTTCCTGGGTTTTCTTTTATCTACCTGAATTGGGCACCAGAGAAGTCTGTGACTCAGAACTGGCAACAGGCACAGAAAGAGAAAATAAGTCAATAAGCATGAATAGCCTGCTTGCAAAGACTAGGAAAGGCAAAGACCAGCAGCGTCTTGGTGGGATGACTTATACTTAGTGACAGCAGCTGATCCACTAGCAAAATTTGGGGGCTAACTCATCCTCCACCCACATGTATAATAGCAACAGCAGAACTTGATATGGTCAACCCACCCCATGCCTCACAGTTGCCAAGTAGCAGTAGGCCCGATGTACTAACAGTAAAACCAAAGAGGGCCCAAATACAGGCCTCACATAAACCAGAAGCAGCAGGTCTGTCTGTCCTGTGTCACAGGATCAAAGTAGGACACTAGCAATGGTCTTTCAAATTGTCATGTGAGATGGGTTTAAAATACTTTTAAATGCCTGACTTGTGCATGATCTGAAGTTTTGTCTCAGTCAAAATTGGATTGTGAGTTGCATTGAATCTGGGTGAAAATAGGTCTGAGAACTCAAGAGGAAATGATCCATTTTTCAAAGTAATAAAGTATAGAATATCAAAAGTTAAATGAGCACTTTCCCCTCCCTCAAGATAATCAATTCCCACAGGAGTTGTTTTTCGCCAGTTAGCTGTGAAACAAGTTGAAGTAAGACCAGAAAATTTTACATATTTTTAAATCAAATTATTACAAAGGTAGCTATCCTGTTAATACACCATATGCCATTTTTTAAATTAAGATTTGGTTTATTTATTTGACAGAGAGAGAGGGAACACAAGCAGGGGGAGTGGGAGAGGGAGAAGCAGCCTTCCCGCAGAGCAGGGAGCCCGATGCGGGGCTAGATCCCAGGACCCTGGGATCATGACCTGAGCTGAAGGCAGGCGCTTAACGACTGAACCACCCATAAGCCATTTTAAAGTCCTCTTTGTAGCCAGTATTTCTTCTCAGTATCAAATTAAGAAGTTTAACAGCTATGCCTTCTGGGGAATTTGTATTTCTCTCCACAGGGTTTCAAAGTAATGGTAAGCTCTTAGATCAGAATTTGGCTAGGTGTTCAGTTCAGAAGACTATCATTAGTGATATCAGTAGGCTCCACTAAGTGCCAGTAGCACAGACGTTAGAAAAGTCAAAGAAAAGGAATCAAGAAGAAAAAAGTAGATAAAATGAAATGGTAGAACCTACCTTATCTGCTATGTATTATTACCTCTCCTTCGTGTAAATCCGTAACTATTCCTGCAAACTGGAATAGAAGAGAGTGGAAAATATTTGCTGGTTTTGCTTTGGAAATTTAATTGGTAAACCTAAAATAGTGTTTAAATTTCTGAAAAGAAAAAAATTTAAGTCCTGTCTAAAAGAGAAATGTGCGGGCACCTGGGTGGCTCAGTTGGTTAAGCGACTGACTTCGGCTCAGGTCATGATCCTGGAGTCCCGGGATCGAGTCCCACATCGGGCTCCCTGCTCGGCAGGGAGTCTGCTTCTCCCTCTGACCCTCCCCCCTCTCATGTGCTCTCTCTCTCTCTCATTCTCTCTCCCTCAAATAAAATCTTTAAAAAATAATAATAATAAATACAAATAAAAGAGAAATGTGCTGGGGCATCTGGGTAGCTCAGGAGGTTAATCATCTGCCTTTGACTCAGGTCGTGATCCCAGGGTCCTGGGATCCAGCCCCACATCGGGCTCCTGCTCAGTGAGGAGTGTGCTTCTCCCTGTCCCACTGCCCCTCCCTCCACCTCCCCCTGCTCATGCTCTCTTTCTCTCCTCTTTTGCTTGTGCTTTCTCTCTCTCAAATAAATTAATAAAATCTTTTTAAAAAAATGAAAGAGAAATGCGCTCATCTGTCAGCTTAGCATATACAAGTTTTCTAAGACATTAAGTTAGAAAAGCAAAGTTTATCTGGCTACTTGGTGGCATATTCTAATGAGACACTTGAGTTTTGTTGAGGAGAGAAATGTTCAAACAATCCTATAGCCCTTAAAATGTTTTGACTTTATGCAGCCAGGCAACCATATGCTAAGGGGAGAGTTGTAATTGAGTAGCTTTAACCTGGATATTTCTAAGCTATATCCTATAATATATTGTGGTCTTGTCGATTAGTGTAATTCATGGTACCTTGAAAGGGCCCTGAAGGATATAGCTTGATAATTGAACTGCGTAACCTTGTTATTTAACTCAGTCTCAGGCTCCTATCAGAAGTCCTCAAGCCACTACTACTTCAAAAAAGGGAGGACACATTTTGATAACACCAGTTTTATATCTCATGCTGCCAGTATAGCATGAAAAAATAGACATTTAAATCATGATTAAGAGCATATTGTAAAATGAAATAGTTGATGATGTTAGTGATTTTAAACTTTTCTTTCTTTGTGTGTGTGTGTGTATGTGTGTATACAGCAATGAAAACTACTGGTTGTAACTTAGATAAGGTAAATATTCTTCCTAATGCTCTGATCACTCCACTCATATCAAGCAGTATGATTAAGAGTGAAGATGTTACTCCAATGGAAGTAACAGCAGAAAAAAGATCTTCCCCTATTTTTAAGGTGAGTTACATTGATTAGTGCCCCACATCTTCATATCAGTTATAAAAATTGCTAGTTTGATTTCTTTTCCCCGTGTTTGTGCTTTTTACTTTTCCTGTTTCTTTCACATGTGTTTCTCTGTAGATGCAGTTAATGAGTTTTGCTTTTCAGAGTGATTTAACATGTTGATAAAATAGCCTGCAAAGTGACTTCCAACGTACCTTGATAAGGGAAGAATAAACATTAGCTAGACCTGTGGGATGTGGGGTATTAATGAAAGTACAGGTTTAGTATTTTCAGAATTGGAGACATTTTTATTTCCTTTTTTCCCCCAGTCTTTTTCTATAACTCCCTTTCCCTTTTTTACTTATTCTTTTCCCTCCAAAATGTTACCAGTGATCCACAAGATGGAGGTATTTTTAAGTTTACTATTACTTCATGAACTGTAGAATTAATGTTTTCTTCCTGTCCTAAGCACATCAGTAACTGATTATTAAAGTTTTTTGTTTGACTGTCTTTGCTTTTAGAACATTTATTTAAAAAATATCCTAATGACCAATATCATGGTATCACTGAGAATGCTAGTCTTACCCGTTTCCCGAAAAAATAGAGTGGAAAATTGGTCCTGCATATACATGTGTTTTTAGAATAATAGTTTTTGAAGTACCATATGAGTGAATTTAATGTTTATATAGACATATTATTTGGGGATTTTTATTTTTTAGACTGCAAAGACAGTTGGATCAACTCAACAAACGTTAGAAAGTATGTCTAACATGGCAGGAAATGGGTCTTTTTCATCATCATCCTCTTCCCACTTACCTTCTGAAAATGAAAAGCAGCAGCAGATTCAGCCCAAGACATACAGCCCAGAGACCCTGACAACTATCCAGACACAGGACATTTCACAGCCTGGTCCCTTTCCAGCAGTTTCTGCTTCTAGTCAGCTACCCAACAGTGATGCACTACTGCAGCAGGCTCCCCAGTTTCAGACCAGAGAAACTCAGTCTCGAGAAGTGCTACAGTCAGATGGGACAGTGGTTAACTTGTCACACCTGACTGAATCATCCCAGCAACAGCAGCAGTCACCACTACAAGAACAAGCACAGACTTTACAGCAGCAGATTTCGTCCAATATTTTCCCATCACCAAGTAGCGTGAGTCAGCTACAGAGCACGATTCAGCATTTGCAAGCCGGAAGTTTTACAGGCAGTACTGCTAGTGGCAGCAGCGGAAATGTTGACTTGGTCCAACAGGTTTTAGAGGCACAACAACAGTTATCTTCAGTTTTATTTTCTGCTCCAGATGGTAATGAGAATGTTCAAGAACAGCTTAGTGCAGACATTTTTCAACAAGTCAGTCAAATTCAAAATAGCGTAAGCCCTGGAATGTTTTCCTCAACAGAGCCAGCAGTCCATACTAGACCAGATAATTTAATAGCCGGAAGAGCCGAAAGTGTTCACCCACCGCCTGAAAACACATTATCCGGTCAACAGCAGCAACAGCAACAGCAGCAAGTGATGGAATCATCAGCTGCGATGGTGATGGAGATGCAGCAGAGTATCTGCCAGGCGGCTGCCCAGATCCAATCTGAGTTATTCCCTTCACCTGCGTCAGCAAATGGGAACCTTCAGCAATCTCCAGTTTACCAGCAGACTTCGCACATGATGAGCGCGTTATCTACCAATGAGGACATGCAAATGCAGTGTGAATTGTTTTCTTCTCCACCTGCGGTTTCTGGAAACGAAACTACTACAACCACCACACAACAGGTTGCAACCCCTGGCACAACCATGTTTCAGACATCGAGTTCAGGAGATGGAGAAGAAACTGGAGCACAAGCAAAGCAGATTCAGAACAGTGTCTTTCAGACCATGGTCCAAATGCAACATAGTGGGGACAGTCAAGCTCAAGTTAACCTTTTTTCATCTACGAAAAGTATGATGAGTGTGCAGAGTAATGGTACTCAGCAACAAGGTAACGGTTTATTCCAGCAAGGTAATGAGATGATGTCACTCCAGTCTGGGAATTTTCTGCAGCAGTCTTCTCATTCACAGGCTCCACTTTTTCACCCTCCGAATCCTATTGCTGATGCTCAGAACCTTTCCCAGGACGCTCAAGGTTCTATTTTCCACAGCCCAAGTCCCATCGTCCACAGTCAGACTTCTACGACGTCCTCTGAACAAATGCAGCCTCCAATGTTTCATTCCCAGAGTACCATGGCTGTGCTCCAGGGCTCTTCTGTTCCTCAAGACCAGCAGTCGGCCAACCTATTTCTGTCCCAGAGTCCAATGAATAATCTTCAGAGTAACACAGCAGCCCAGGAAGAACAGATTTCATTTTTTGCCGCTCAGAACTCAATTTCTCCACTGCAGTCAACATCTAACACTGAGCAGCAGGCTGCTTTCCAGCAGCAGGCTCCAATATCACACATCCAGACCCCTATGCTCTCCCAGGAACAGGCGCAGCCCTCCCAGCAAGGTATGTTCCAGCCTCAAGTGTCGCTGGGCTCCCTGCCTCCTAATCCAATGCCTCAGAACCAACAAGGAACGATCTTCCAGGCTCCGCGCTCAATAGTCGCCCTGCAGAGTAACTCCCCGTCGCAGGAGCAGCAGCAGCAGCAGCAGCAGCAGCAGAGCATTTTGTTTAGTAGCCAGAATACCATGGCCACAATGGCCTCCCAGAAGCAGCCACCACCAAACATGATGTTCAGCCCGGGTCAGAATCCAATGGCTAATCAGGAGCAGCAGAACCAGGCCATCTTTCACCAACAAAATAACATGGCCCCGATGAATCAAGAGCAGCAGCCCATGCAATTTCAGAACCAGCCTACAGTTTCCTCTCTTCAGAACCCAGGCCCTGCCCAGTCTGAGTCGCCACAAACCTCCTTGTTCCATAGCTCTCCTCAGATTCAGTTGGTCCAAGGGTCACCCAGTTCTCAAGAGCAGCAAGTAACACTGTTCCTCTCTCCAGCATCCATGTCTGCTTTGCAGACCAGTATGAACCAACAAGACATGCAGCAGTCTCCTCTTTATTCCCCTCAGAACAACATGCCCGGAATCCAGGGAACCGCATCTTCCCCTCAGGCACAGGCAACTTTATTTCACAACACCACTGGAGGCACAATGAACCAACTACAGAATTCTCCTGGCTCATCTCAACAGACTTCTGGAATGTTCTTGTTTGGCATTCAGAATAGTAAGAAACTCTTTCTAATTTCTTATTTCTTAAATGTTATTGGTTGAAGTGGTCAGATTATTACTATTTTTATTAAAAGGAAGCAAAACACGGGTCTTTTTTTTTTTTTTAAGATTTATTTATTTGACAGAGAAAGACACAGCGAGAGAGGGAACACAAGCAGGGGGAGCTGCGGGCAGAGGGAGAAGCAGGCTCTCCGAAGAGCAGGGAGCCTGATGCGGGACTTGATCCCAGGACCCTGGGATCATGACCTGAGCCCAAGGCAGTTGCTTAACCAGCTGAGCCACCCAGGCGCCCCAAAACACAGGGGTCTTAAGAGCACAGATTATACTTGGAACTGAGTTCAAGTCCCAGCTATACCATTTATATACCATGAGATCGTGGACAAGTTATGTGACCTGCAAAAGCTTCAGTTTCCACATCTTTAAATGGTGGTAATATTATGTACTTACTCGAAAAGGATATTGGGAGGACTAAATGCAGTCATGAATATAAATGAATGTGTTTGCCATTTTAATCTATAAACTTGAAAGGAAAATGAAGTAAGAATGACAGAAAATATCTCTGCCAATTAAAGCAAGTAGTTTCCAAGGAAGTAGAAACTCATCTTTAATATTTATATACCAAGGAAAATGTGTAGGACTTAACGATTAACGAAGCAAAGTTGTATTTGTATACCACTTAGAGGAGACCTGGGATGAATTCCAGTACCATTTGGTGAAAACCCTTTTGGGGGCTCTCAGGTGCCCCCCTTCTAGTTCTCTTTTGAATAAGTACAATAATGAATTTCCCCCAGCAACTAATAAATATCTTCTTATGCATCTTAACAGAAAGTAACTAATCTGGTAGCTTCTCTATTTTAAATGTCTCTGCAGACTGTAGTCAGCTTTTAACTTCTGGACCAGCTACATTGCCAGATCAGTTGATGGCCATAAGTCAGCCAGGCCAACCCCAGAATGAGGGCCAGCCACCTGTGACAACACTTCTTTCTCAGCAAATGCCGGAGAATTCTTCACTAGCATCCTCTATAAATGCCAACCAGAACATTGAAAAGATTGATTTGCTTGTTTCATTGCAAAACCAAGGGAACAACTTGACTGGCACTTTTTAACTGAATGAGTAAGTATTGCATTTTGGCTTCTTTTTTTATTGAAAAGCATCGATAAATTGTGTTATTCTTACAAGATTTGTGTTTAAGTAATAACACCTTTTAGACCCTACTCTTTTGAAATATGGCTTTCTCACAAGATGATGCTTTTTCAAGCTGCACAAATTACTCTGAATGATAGCTTGTAGTTGTATTGTTAGTACTAGGCAATCCTTCTGGCTCTAAGTTTCTTTGCCGTGGAACGACAGAACATCCAGTGAATGTACTGTATATTGGATATAATTATATCTCATTTCACCCTTCCTCAAGAAATAAATACTGAGTCAGAAAAGTCTGTGGAAGTATAAATATGGTGAAGTATCATTTATAATACTGTAATATACTTTGGGGTTATTCAGGGTAACAGGAAATTTCTAAATGCTTTCACTCCCTAGTGAGTTATATTCAACTTCTCCTTCTTTTATAGAAATTCCATGAAGAAAATTCTGATTCCAAGATGTCCTGAGATCATGTGATTCCATGTGGATTTTTGAACTGTTACTTTAAAAACAAAACAAAGTATGAAAAACTGTGATTGAGTAAATGGATAGATTTTACTCTTACTGCAAAAGAGCACATCTATGCTGCCTGTTGCAGTGATTAGCCACCATTGTTAACATCTTCATATTTTATATTCCTAATAACAGTGATGACTGAGAATCCTTTTGAGTTTCCAGCTGACAGAATTAATTGTTGCTATTTTCCTAGGCGCTGTTTCTTTAAAAGTACAGTTTAAATCCAAAAGCTGGACTGCTCAGTTATTATTGCTATTAGAAAGTAATTCAAAATGTCATGTTTACTTTTGTTCTTTATTCATATTTTCTTTCCTGCATTGTTTTAGTCACGTAATGGCTATTGAAAAAGGAAAGTTCAAATAGCAACTAAAACTAAGGCTGTGATTTTTCAATATAAAAAGCACAGTTATTGGCCATAGTGAAGGAATCTTTTTTTCAGTTTTTATGGAGAAACTGAAGGGGTAACATTCTGACAAGTAAGCTGTATTAAGAGCTCTGCACATGTAAGAGGCCTCTTTATTTATCAGAAAGGCAGACAACACACAAACTAGGAAGACTTGAAATGCTATTGATTTTATTTTTTGGAGAGTTGTTAATTCTCTGTGTTTCTTTTAAGGGGTTTAGCCATAACTGTGCATAGAAGAATAATTATCTTGCTCTATCAAAAAAATGAAGGGGCTAAAAAATGGTAAATTATGTTCTGATATCCTCCTACGGCAGTTTAAAACTGACACAGCAATTTGAGTCTGCTTTCTTCTTATCCCAGTCGTGGACCGATGTTTCCTTTTTATATTCATTTATATTCTTCTCCCCCTCTTCTTCACTTTATTTTAGACAATTAGTAATCTACTAGCTTTGTGACCCTGTAGCAACTTAAAGGAAAAGGCCACTTTGGTCTGGGGTAACCCAGCAACCTCTGCAGCACAGGCAGGGCAGGGGGCTACCCTTTCAGGAATGAGGGGAGCAGATTCCTGAGACACAAGAAACAATGCATTCATTTTTTTCCATGAACGGTGCTGTTCTGAAGTCTTCAAATTTTCCCTCTAATAGGAAACAGTGTACATTTTAATTTAAAAAAAAAAAAGGCAAACTAAAATTTCCTGAAACATCACTTCTCCCTGAACTGCAGTGAGTGTAATTCACTTGTCACCTCAGTGCTTTACAGTTTGAAGTGGTCACTTATCTGATGGTTCCCACAAGCCTTAGGCTTTACAGGGTCATATCATTGACTTAAAATGAAGAATTAACTTGTGTTACATCTATAGAGAGCAAAATTATACACTCCAGAATTTGCAGTTGTAGCATTAGTTATACAGTTCTGGGTGTTCTTGCCACCCATGGGATGCCTGCTTCTCACTCCAACCTGTTGTCTGGACACATGCTTATGTCTTATTTTCCTTTTGGCATGTAGAAAGCTGTTAATACAGTTTAAGGCCAAATTGTGTGTGGCTTCTATATGTAGATAAGATGTTTTGGTATTCATGTCCCTTTCATTTTTTTTAAGTGTACAAGAAAATAGCCTGTTAAATGATTGTTGTAGGCTACTTTTCTGTTTGTTTGTTTGTTTTTAATTTTTTTCTATCCTATACATTTAGTTGAACTTTGTGGAATTGTGGTGTTGCTTTTGTTTATATAGCCAGATTTTTTCCCCCTTTTTGTGGTCTTCCTTGGTTCTTTGAACGTGCTCTTCTTCTAATTTGTTTTTTCTCTTTGTTCTTATATATTCGTTCCTCCACCCCCAACCCTTTCTTTCTTTCTCTCTCTGATTGAGAGGCATTGAATTACGTTTTCAGTAGTACAGGCTTCTTGCCGATATGAAGGGAACTTTTCAGAAAGAGACCTACTCTGGGTCATTTACTTTTGAATACAGTTTTCAATCGTTCAAGTTTTGGATGGTTTATATCTAATGTGTGTTTCATTTTTTTGGAAAGCTATATTTTGTATTTAGGAAATGGTATACTATTTTGCTATTTGTACTGAGTGAGTACATTGGCATAAATATAGAAATTTATATATATACATATATATAAACTATTCTTTTTTTGCCACACATTTTTGTGGTAAATTTGTGAGTTTGTCTGATGTTCTACCACAACGTGGCGTCTGATAACAGTGAGGGGGGGTTTGTTATGTCTTTATTGAGTATTTAAGTATCTTTTGAAACAAATGACCTGTTCATCTGTGGCCATTCCATCGGGCAGTTCCTTGATGTTATTAGTGGGCTAAAGGCAGCTTACTGTGTGTTTGCTGGATCTTTCACTCAGAAAAATGTTAGAGTAAGGAAACCCATCTAGGCAGTTGTGTCCAATGGTGTTTCACAAGAATGAGCCATTCAGTCCTTGCTCACTATATATTTAATATTTTATTGTTGTTATTGTTATTATTAATTGGCTTTCTGTATTCTATGCCTTTTATTTATAATGACACTAAAAAAAAAATCCCATGTTTGTAATTTTAATAACATTTTCCCCATCTTGTAATATCCAGAGCTACTTTATAAATTCTCTGAACCAAAAGCATTTTCCTCAATATATCATCTCTCCCCACCCCATCAGGAAAAATTACCCAATATAGTTCAGGTTATAAGAAGGACCAGCCACACAATCCAGTGCTTCAGTTTTAAAATGTAAAACTCTAACTGCAGAGGTATAAAGAGGTGGCTTATCCAGCAGGTATAAAAATAAGAAGTAGAAATAAAATACTGTAAGTTTATTTCTGAGTTTTCTGACTTTTTTCCTAAGAGATTACACAGGAGACTCGGGAAGTCTATTTGTTCACCAAGTTCCAATTAGAATGTTTGTTAACACTGCTCTGTGGATGAAGTGGTGGCAAGAAGACTGGCTTGTGTGCTGACTTCTGTTCTGTCATTTAGCAAGAGGCTTATCATTATAAAATGCTGATTGCCAATGCCAAGTCACCAGGGACCAATTTTCTGTTTTATAGTATCTAAGTTTAGAACAGAACACACACCTGAACTGTAGTGGCTTGATTGGATGGAGGCAGAAAACCCAATTTTTGTTTTCATAAATTTTGGTTATTTATACAAGGGCTGTGCTATGCTACCATATTCTTATTCAATAATGATGAATTTTTTTTAACATTGTTTAATGTTCCTTACACCTAAAGGTCAATGTTAAGTACAACATTCTGAATATTTGGTTACAAAAAGCATTTGTCTTCTTACGAAGAGTTAGCTCAGTGGTCAGTGGTTGATACTTGTGCTAATAATACAATTTCCAGATTACTGTTATAACTTATAACTACATATGGGAGAGACTCCATGAGCCAGCGAAGGCCTTGGAAGCAACAATTAAATTTATTTATGGCAGAAGGACCTAAATAAACTATGAACCTTTTTTATTCCTTTATATTGTTACATTCAGTTGCTCTTGCTTTTAGCAGCTCACCTTAATGCTTGGAGCTTATCTGTGTGTGTGTGTGTGTGTGTGTGTGTGTGTTATTCATTATTGTCATTCCATTATATATCCACACCAACATGGGAGAAGATAACTAGAAGTCATATTGGCTTCTGAGCTTTATCATGGTAATTACCTTTGTAATTAGAGTATTGTGCTGTTATTTAGTCAGTACAAGTCTGTTTTGCCAGTCTCCCTAGAACAGGTTTTTAAAGGGCTTTGTTTAATATAAAAGCAGAATTAACGAAAGATCTCCCTTCCTTCCTTTCTTTTCTTTTTTGGTAATATTGTGTATGCTATAGTTGAAGCTTCCATTATATTGCATTTCCTGTCCATCACAACTTCAGTTAATCTGCCTAGGAAAAATAATGTCAAAGGAAATGAGAAAGAAATTATATCTGAGTCCCTCTAGAACTAAGATAATTCCTTTTGACCATTTAAACTGTTTTGGACACTTGTTTTGGAAAAGTGAAATCTGTTTAGACAGATCAGTAATTAAAGATCAGAATTAAATGTGATAATAATTGAAGTCTCAAAATAAACATGACATAAATACTCACAAGGAGTAATTTGAGAATTTTTCATTGTTCTCATGACAATTTCTGTTCTAATACCTGTTTCCTAGTTAATTTTTTTTCTAATTAATTGAAAATTATATGAGGCCTGTTAGGTTTATGCTGCTTCATGACCACAGGCTTCATCCCTACCCAGTGCAAACCATGTTATATCTGCACACCTTTGGTTATAAGGAGGGACTCAGTGAAGACAGAGACTGTATAGTTCAGCAGCTTTATTAGAAAAATAACTCAGAGTACATGCCTTAGTAAGTTAGGTTAGTAGAATCTCATAACATATTAAAAAGAGGTTTTCTCCTCTGCTTATTTGTGTCACTAGAACTAAATCATGGACATAATGTTCATAATGCAGTAAATATCAGCATAACATAGCGTCACTTGTGAATTGTCCCAGTGCTCTAATTACTTCTTTAATCCCCATTTGTTTTCATGCCATTCTAGCCTCATTCATTAATAAAATTCTATTTTTACTCCACTTTCAGGAAATTTTTTTAAATTAATATTTTATATCAAGATCAAATACTTATGGAAAAGTGCCTTTTTACCATGATAGTGCCCCTTTCTTGTAATTTCATTTTTCACTATTGCCAAAAACAAATACACAAATGATTTCACTAGGCCCCAACTTTAGCTTTTTCATTTAGCCATTCTTTTCTCCATTTTTCGATCATGGTAGAAAACAACTTCATAAATTTCTCCCTTTGGTGTAAGAGTGACAGAGAAGATACATTGCTAGAATTGTTCCTTTGAGCGACGGTAAGGAATAGATTATAGAATTATACTGTTTCAGCTTTATATAAATTATCTAAATTTGTCTTCATCTTGACCAACTAATGATAGGTCTTACCTGAATGCTAATGAAAATTTTACTATCTGTGAGACTCCATGTACACAAATGTTTGTAGTTAAATTTCAGCAAGGAAGGATTTAAAGCATCTTCTCTGATCTTTCTTATTAGATGGATGAAAACCACATAGTTCAGGTAAAAGCTGGTAATGTCAACTTTTCTAACTAGACAAGGCCATGTAATTCATTGTAGTGCACCGCTCACCTGTCAGAACCTTCGTAATCTTTACGAAAAATAGTGTCAAAGGAAATAAGGAAGTTATTTTGGAATCCCACTAGAACAAAGATAATGATTCCTTTCAACAGGATGCAGTTGGATTGAGTGTCCCTCTGTTTTTTTGTTAATTTTGCCTCTTTTGTAGCTCCTTATTGCAGTGGTGGTGCCTATCGAGAGAGCAGGATAGCAGTAGCTTGGGGATAGAGCTGCTTTCCCCGTGTGAGTATTTCTTTGACTTAGTGGCTCTGAAGACTACAAAGCTTTATGCAATATTCTTAATACCCTCATGATATTATGCACTTTAATCATTCCAAAGAAGTCAAGAATGCTCTGTGGTGATGATTCCTTCTTAATGAATACATTTAACTCTTTATGTCCCTTTTTACTTTGGATAGCCAGCTGGGTCTAAGTGTTACGTGAATATTTTCTAAAATGACTGTGTAGTAGGACTTAAGACTTTGAAATGTAATTGACTATATGAGGAAATTATTACACTTCAGCAAATCATTTTAGAAATATTAAATGTTCAGCTTGCTAATCTATATGTTTGAGACTTAATTAAAACCAGCTCTCTTCCAGTATATTTTGTGTCATGTTTATAAGACCCTTGTAGTATATAGTTTTCTACATAAACAGTATAAACCAGTGGTTTTCAAAGTATGGTCCTCAGCCCACCAGCCAACGTCAGTATCACTTGGGAACTAGTTAGAAATGCAGATTTTGGGCCCTATCATAGACATACTGAATCAGAAACTCCGGCATGGGGCCTAGCAGTCTGTGTTTTAACAAGCCGTTCAGGTGATTCTGATGTATGCTCTTTTGAAAACCACTGCAGTAAGTGTTATACAGTTAATATCTAGAAAGGTCCCCTCCCCAGTCATACAAACAGTTATTATGTATGTTGTTCTTTATGTAAATTCAGCTTAACCTGGTTATCCATAATCATTTATTGGCAATGATAATTTATTCTCAGTACTGCCTATAGAAATTTAGTATGTTTTATATACATAAACAGTTTAGTTACTGATAATTCAGTTAACTTAGTTTGGCATTTTACTACCATGCACTAAAAAGTTTACATTAAATGACTGATTTAAATATATAGGTGCAATCTTCTATATTTCTTTTAATTGTTATGATATTTAAGTAGCTAAAACAATTGACGGGTGCTAAAGTCTCCTGTTTATCCATGAAATGGGTACATTATGGGCAGTGATATTACAAGCTTTCTTTTCATTGCCTCTTACTTTACCAGCAGACCACAATTTTGGTCTGGCTAGACCAACCCTCAGAAAAGCATTCCTTGTATTCATATTTGTATCTGAGATATTAAACAAGATGGCTGGCCAGGTCCACAAAGCACCTTATTTAATTTCTTTTTTAAATAGATGAAACTTATTTAAAAGTAGCTTGGTTTGTATGAGAACTGATACAGTTAGCTATTCTTGGAACTTATGCTTCAGACAAGCATTATTTACTAAAATAGATATTGGACAAGACAGTGCATTATATAATCTGGGCACTTCTCCCTTCCCAACTGTAAGCCTTATGGTGAATATAAACTAACAAGATAAGTAGATTTATCGATTCACTTTAATCTCCATGTGTAATTCAGTACCTCCATAATTGCTGTAATCTTCCTTCCACTGTTTACAAATCACCCAGTTAACTCATGGAAGAAAAGTGCACATTCAAAATAAAAATAATTGTATACTCTATAAAAATCACCACTGCTGTCTTTGCTTAATACTAGCAGTGGAAATGTAAGTGGCTTACTCTACAAACCTTGGTGCTGGCAATACATAAGCAAACTGTGGGGAGATGCTCTAGGTACATTCCTCCTTTCTTGTTCCCTTTCCCCTCTTCCCCACTTTATTGCATAATATATTCCTGTATCCAAAGCATTCTACCACAATTCTATTTGACTCCAACTTGTAATATCTCTTTTAAAAGACCCGTGTTTAACCGTATCATCCTTGCTCTCTTTTTTTCCCCAGAAGGAATTTGGTTTGAAATAGTCTATAGGGGTTGCTTCTTATTTTAGCTGATGAACCTCAGGACCACACACACACACACACACACACACACACACACACACACACACACCATCTCAGATGTTTGAGAGTGGCTTTGGAATCAGACTAATGTGTTCAATAAAGAACTGTCCTGCACTGAAGTGTTTGTGACTTTAGTAACTACAAACTGATTCCAATGACATTGAGCTAATTTCATTTGAGCCAATGAATGTATCTGCTCACCTTGTTCCCTTCTAATTGATAAGCTCCAAGTAGTAGCTACTTTTTTGGGTCAACTTTTACTGAGTTTTATTCACTTCTTTTACCTAGTCTTTTAATTAACATACTGCAAATATTTCATTAACAAGTGCTTTAGCTACCATTCTGCCATTTAAATTTTTTAATTTAATTTTATTTTGCTTGAGCACACTGGTCAACCACTGAACTGCCTTCTTCCATTGTCCTGCAATGATATAAGGATTACATTTTTGTGTATATGGCTTTCATAGTTGGGATTTCAGAGCACTGACACCAGATATTTTCAGTTTGTTCTGTGGGGGAATTTCATTTGCATCTATGTTTTTAGCTATCTGTGATAACTTGTTAAATATTAAAAAGATATTTTGCTTCTATTGGAACATTTGTATACTCGCAACTATATTTCTGTAAACAGCTGCAGTCAAAAATAAAACATTGAAAGTTTTCATTTTGCAGTAGGTAACTGTCTTTTTTCCTCAAACTTTGTGAATGAATCCATATCCATGAATGTCAGTTTTGAGCAACATGAGTATGTGGCTGAAATTATAAAATCATTTGGAAAAGGTACAAAAATACAGATCTATTTTTGAGCATTTACTTTGTGCGTAGTATTTTGCCGGGCAGCGTACAAAGTGACTCAGTGTGGTAGCAAATCATGTAGCATAGAGGTGATTTTGCTAAAAACCACATCTCCCCAGCTCTCAGTCAAACATCCAGAGGCAATAATCTCTTTTTGTTGTTGTTCTGTCAGTTATTTTCACATACATAAATTGGGGTTTACCAGTATGTGGTATCTATATAACATATCACTAGCAGTATTCAAAATGAGACATGAGCAAACATATATATGTCTGTGTGCCTTAGAAAAAAAATCTGTGTCCACCTACTAGACTCTGGGGAAATATAAGTGATATTCAAAACAAATATAGATGATACAGAGATACCATGAATTTGATATATAAATAACTGAAACTTCAGAAGCAGTGCTTTGAACCGTATGCTCTTATACCTTCTTATCACATATAGTCTGTGTCTGTTGACTCTATGAAAGTGACTGAATTTTCAACATACCCAAATGTATACACACATGAGTTGTCGTTTTAGGAGGCTATATATATTTCAACGATGCTGCCATTGTTCTAAATGTGTTTAAAAGTTGTCTTTTGGCCTATTGACTTCCAGCAGCACTGGAAAGGAGTGATAATGAAATGAAATTCAGTAAGTATAAGTATCAAAAAGGGTGGCGGATGGGTTACATGGGTGATGGGTATTAAGGAGGGCACCTGTTATGATGGGCACTGGGTGTAGTAAGTTAGGAATCACTGAATTCTACTCCAGAAACCAATACCGCAGTGTATGTTAATGACCTAAAATTTTAATTTAAAAAAATTTTTTAAATAACAGTAATAAAAGGGTAAAAAAAAATTAAAAAATACTTGGGTCCAAAAAACAGCCTGTATGAGCAAAAGATTGATCTGAAGTTGAGACTCTTAAGTGGCTGCCAGAAAAGCTGATGCAATCCTGGGTTACATAATTAAAGTTACAGTGTCCAGAACAAGGGAGGTGGTTGTCCGGCTTTACTCCAGGCTGGTCAGAGTACTCCTCTGTCATGTTGTAAGGAGCAAACACATTCTCAGCAGCCATGGAATCGGGCCTGTAAGAGAATCAGAGCATCACTTATGCCTGCTTGGGACACAACAAGGACTCTAGAAGTATAAAAGTAGCTACAGTTTCTCAACAGCAACACTTAATGGTCTTGCTCTCAAGAAGAGTTGTTGATGCTGCTCTTGTGTCCTCTTTCATGGTGCTGTTGTCCCTGCTTCTACTGAGGCGATACACTGTAGTATTTAAAAACATAGGCTCTTGAGTTTGCCCACCTCAGTGGAGTTCTGGCTCCTGCATGTGCTGTTAAACTCTGCATTCCTCCATCTCCTTACTTACCAAGTAGAAACAAAAATAAAACCCTCCTCTTAGGGTTATTGCAAAGATTAAGTAAAGGGGCGCCTGGGTGGCTCAGTCGGTTAAGCGGCTGCCTTCAGCTCGGGTCGTGATCCCGGGGTCCTGGGATCGAGCCCCACGTCCGGCTCCCTGCTCAGCGGGGAGCCTGCTTCTCCCTCTCCCTCTGCCTGCCACTCTGCCTGCTTGTGCTCTCTGTCTCTCTGTCAAATAAATAAATAAAATCTTTAAAAAAAAATAATCCATGTAAAATTACTTTGTTCCTGGCACACAGTGCCTAGTAGGTGTCACCTTGTTTTAGTATTACTAGTCCTGACGCTGCTTAGCTATTCGGTCCCTCGTGCACTAGATCCCATATCCTTTTGTGCTTTTTTTTTTTTTTTTAAAAAACATTTTCCTGTAATTTTCTTTTTTCTCCAGTATCAAAACCTTTTCTCTCTGAGTCATTCCTACTGGCATATAAATTTGCTGTAATGTCCCTATCTCTTAAAAAAAATCAAATAACTTTCTTTGACCACACAAGCCTGTACACAAAGTTTCCACTTCCTCTCCTTCCATTCTTTCTTGAACTCATTCCAACCAGGCTTTCATGAAACCACTCCCCCGAAATATCTCTTGTCAAAATTACCAGGGGCCTCCACGTGACTGTATGCAAAGGTCAATCCTCAGACCTATCCTACTTGGCTTATGAGTACCATTTGACATGCTCGATCACTCCCTCTTTGAAACACTCTCTTCTCTTAGCTTTCAGGACCCCACACTCAGCTCTCCTCCTCTGCTGGGCACTTTTTTTCATTCTCATCTTCTCGACCTAACACCAGAGAGCCCTAGAGGTCAATCATCAGATCTCTTCTCTTTCGCAGTTTATTTCCTAGGTAATCTCATCCGTGACATTGCATCATATACTGTCTCTTTGGTGAAGATTTCCATATGTATGCCTCTAGTCGTAACTTCTCTAAGTCCAGGTTCCTATTACCCTTAATAGACATCCATCTCAAACACAAAATGTCTGAAGTCAAATTTTGATTTCACTCTTCCCGACCCCAACTTCTGCCCCCAATATGCTTTCCTGATTCTTGATTATCTTAGCAAATGGAGTCTCCATTCTTCCGGCTGCTTAAGCCAAAATACCTTCGAGTTATTTTATTTGACCCAGATCCAGTCCTTTACCAAATACTGTTAGGCCAACCTTTGAAATATATTCAACCTTATAAAAACATCCACTTCTTGACACTTCTGTTGTTCAAAGCATTTAACTAGATTGTCACACTTTCCCACAAGCATAAGCCGTGCTTCCATCGTTTTATACTTGATTCCTCACCTACCAGCCAGAATTAAACGTGAGTCATATTATACCTCTGCCCAAAACTCTCCAGCCACTTCCCATCTTTATTTTCTTACAGCGCTTGTAAGGCTCTGTGTAATCTGACCCCAGCTATGTGACCTAGCCCTCTCTTCCTTTCTCTGCTTTAGTCACACAAATGTCTTCTCTCTTCCTCACACTGCATGTTCCTGCCTCAGATATTTGCCCTCTGCCATCACTGCTGCCCAGAGTGCCTTCTCTCACGCATCTACAGCTCGCTCTCACTTTATCAGGTCTTTGCTCAAACGTCGCCTTATCAGGCAGATCCTTCTTGATCACCCTATGTAAAACAAAACTACGCACATTCCGTCTCTCTCTTACCCTGCTCTTTCTTCTAGCACGAAGTACTTGGTTTTGTTCATTGCTGTGGTCCCAGTGCCTAGCCGAGTACCTAGCCCACTGACTGGGTAAATCGGAATACATCGGGCAAATCACAATAAATACTGCTGCCCCTCGGCATTTGTTTAATGAATTCTAGGTTTTTCTTGATTTCTGTAACACTCTTATCTGGATCTCTAAATGTCCTGTAGATTCCCTGAGAGGATCTTAATAGGTTGTTCCTTTACCATTCAATATGAAGCAGCCCTGTTGGGAGAGCTCTCAAGTCTTAACAGGCATCTGGCCATTTGTTTTTAAAGATTTTATTTTTTTTTAAAGATTTTATTTATTTATTTGAAAGAGAGAGATGAGAGATAGCACGAGAGGGAAGAGGGTCAGAGGGAGAAGCAGACTCCCTGCTGAGCAAGGAGCCCGATGCAGGACTCGATCCTGAGACTCCAGGATCATGACCTGAGCCGAAGGCAGTCGCCCAACCAACTGAGCCACCCAGGCGCCCCTAAAGATTTTATTTTTAAGGAATGCTCTCCACCCAACATGGGGCTAGAACTCACAACTCTGAGATTAAGAGTTGCATGCTCCACGAGCCAGCCAGGTGCCCAGGTCCATAATTTATTATTGCACGCTCTGATCCCGTCTTTCCTAGTAGATTCCACTTTTACCTGTTCCCAGTTTCAGGCAACCTTGCTTTGCCTAATAGCGCGTTTCCTTACAATGCACCACAAGAGGGCGGCCTTTCATCATATTCTACTTGAATTATGAGGACAGTGAGCCACACTTCAATAATTGAAACTGGAAGTATGTCAGAATTGTTCAGAGTTAAAGAAACTCTAGGATTACAATTTCATCCCCAAAATTGTGGGACCAAAACGCATCCAGAAGGAAAGTCATCAGTTTAGCTATGGTAGAGAAGAAAACCTTCCAGAGTGTTCTATAGCTCAGAAATAAAATACTATTTGTAGAAGGCTGTTGTTAAGTATTGGGAGTAACTATTTCTTGAATTCATTCATTGCAGCAGATGTGTACAGATGTGTTGGCTTATTTCTGCAGACATTAAATTAGAAGACAGATAAGAGACTTTTATTATCTTCATTTGAAGGTATCTGCAGGTACTGTATACAAACAACAAAAGTTGAAGAGTAACACGTTAAGTGTATTATTAGTCACTGTGCAGTAAGTAAAACCAGTATCATAAACAAACACAGATTAGTAACTACCAAACAAGTCCCTTGGGTCAGACAGATTCAGTCATTTCTTTCTTTGAGCAATTCCCTTCTGCCGTAAGCCACAGAGAGGTAATTAAAAGAAAAATACATCATTGAAGAGTTGGATGCTGTCTTGCCAGATTTAGCCCTAAAAATTTGTCCCTAACGAGAGGAATTAAATTGTGTAGAGGACCTTAAAGATTATTGTCTGGCATCTTTCTACTTCCTTCCCTGCTTTATATCCTAAGTGGCCTCTTGAGCCTAATCAGATTTTGCCATGATAGCAATCATAAGAATCAGTTACAATTAATAGAAGTATCCAAAAATATATGAATAGAGTCTATTCTGTCTCCTAGTCATTCCTTGTGGAAAAAGAAAAAAAAAAACACATCTTAAAAAAACACAAATCTTAAAGACTAAAGCAAGTCAAGGAAGTCTGAAAAAGAAATCTCGATTTGGCTACACTTTAGAAGGAAACCGAGTCTTGTGAGTCTCATTTTCTGGCTTTGATCTGGTTGTCAGTTGGGATGGACTTGCCCAAATGATGGCCCACAGAAAGGCCAAATTTCTTGTTTTTCCACTCATCCTGCACTTCCTTTTTCATTAAGAATCCTGCCTGGAAGTTTAAGTCAAAGAGGCTACTTGGAGCAAAATACAGTGGCGTCTCATCCCAGATATTGTCCAGGCGTTTCTTCCATCCTTCCAGTATCTGAATTCGGGCCTCCGTGGGAGTGTGGCCAATGCTGTATGTCAGCTGAGGTTCCAAGACTTGGAAGCCACAGAAATGCAGAGTGCCGCTCTGGGGATACACAAAAGCACAGAGATGAGTCACAGAACAAACCCTACACAGCTTGTACCATATACAAACAGCAAAAGTTAATCTAGGTTTTCCAAAAAGACACTCCGATATGGGGGCCTGAGGCCTCCCCCCGGAGAATCAATTCATAGCTATTTTCTCTCACCCGGTCTCTATTCCTAGCTGTTACCTATTTTAGCCTATTCAGCCGAGCTCTTTTTTAAATGAATAAAACCCTGAAACCCTGCCAGCCTTGGGATCCTCTGCCAAAAATGCTGGAAGCTCTATTACATAAGGGAGTTTCAGCCTCTTGGCAGCTGACTCTTGCCAAGGCATGCGGATGTGCCTTTTTCTGCCTCTCCGTTTAACCAGATGAGTCTCAAGAAATGATTCTTATAATTTATTCTCCAGTATTAGTGGGCCGCTCTTACGGGTGGCCACCTCATTTGCTCTTCTCTCCAACCCTCTTCCTTAGAAGAGATTATCTTGATAGTCCAGTGGCCAGCCCCCAAAAAGCCTCCCTCAGACACTTCACTCTCGTTAGCTGGACTAAATCATTTCTTACAATTTTCTAGTCATTTGTGAGGCCGTAGCAGCAACTTGGAGAAGGCCAGGAAGCTTAGAGAGAGGTATCGGTCATCTGAAGAGGACCGGGGCGCATGGTTATACAAATCTAGGGGTTACCTGCACTAGCCCTTGGTTAGGAGGTGGCCATGCTTGCACGTGGGCATACTCGGGTTATCCTTGCAGTGCAGGTGCTGGGGAAGACAAGCCCTAAAAGGGAGCTCCCTGGAGTTCCGAATTATTATGTGGCTCTCATCCTCACACCTCAGGTCTGTTTTCAGCTGCGATCTTGAGGATCTGGACCCCACAGAAAGCTCATCTGATTAACGCCCCCTCCCCGAAGAGTCATTGAAAACAAGTAACCTGAATTGGCCAGAGAACGATATTCATGTCTCCGTGGATACCCTGCAGGGAATACATGGAGCCACTGCCACCAGTGGTGATGGAAAGCACAGTCTTCTTCTTCTGTAAAAGGCAAGTCGTTGTTACCCTCCACCTCGCCACGGTGATAGGAAGTTAACGAAACAGCCCCAGGGAAAGGCACACACAAGCCCGTCCACCTGCCACGGACATCACTTCCAGCACGGGCTCCTCTAAGCCACTCAGTGGGACTCCAGAAGTCACACCCAGGGTGACTCCGCACTGCTGGTGGCAAATCAGGGGACTACAAAACCAGTGCGCGACTGCTGGTGCCTAAGGAGGGCTCTGTCGCTTCTACCTGTCTCTCCACAGGGCTACGCGCGTATCCAGGAGGCCTCAAAATGTTTCTTGCATAGCAGCTGGGTCTCTAAAAAACTAAGATAGACTTTCCTTTTTTTTTTTTTTTTATCATGGAAAATGTCAAACATACATAGAGAAAATAGTATAATGACGCTTCCACCACCACCCCACCCCCCCCAGCTTCAAGGCTCAGTATTCGCTTTAGCTCCTACCCTTGCCCCTTAGGTTCCTGGGCTATTCTAAAGCAAGTCCTAAAGTCCTATCTAAATATCTACTAAAAACTTCATTATCCATCTCTCCCAGGAGCCTGACCTGAGTTTCTAGTTGTGTTCAAAACTCTGCCTCAGGACACAATCTACCCAGAATCTAGCTGATAGAGAAAAGCAGAACCATCCACCTACCCGGAAAGGTCCCTTGTCATACATGGCAGCATACGAATAAGCAAACTCCCCTATGAGCACTCGCTCGAACCAGCCTTTCAGGATGGCAGGGACTCCAAACCACTGCAGCGGGAACTTTGGGACAGAGGGACAGAGAAGTCAGATCAGGAGCACCACCGGTCCAGAAGGTGGCTCAGGTGCTTAGCGGCTGCCTGGGACGTCACAGAAGGGCAGACCTTTCTTGGGGCCCTTGTCATTTCTTCTGGAGGAGTTAGCACATTAAAATTATTGTCCTTGGTCAGTCAACTTGACACTCCTATTTCTGCCTAAAGAAAGAGCTACCGGTAGGTCTGAAGAGAGCCACGTGCAATTAAGATTTGTTTCTATGAGGGGTGCCTGGGTGGCTCAGTTGGTTAAGCATCCAACCCTTGATTTCAGCTCAGGTCGTGCTCTCAGGGTCGTGAGATCAAACCCTGCATCGGGCTCCACCCTCAGCAGGGCATCAGCTTGACATTCTCTCCCTCTCCGCCTGCCCCTCCCCCCCAACTCTCCCTATCAGATAAACACATCTTTAAAAACAATAAAAGGTTTGTTTCTTTGAAACCACATTTAGCAGCAAAGTGTAAACAGCAAGGATTGCAGACAAAGTTTGTTTCAATGTGTGATGCCTAAATCAATATTTTCTGAAGAGCTCACTTTAGTAGGAGTGGTATCAACAAATGAAACAGTGGGACCTTGTGTTCACAGATATAAAATCCTATCATTTAGAATAAACAGTGCATGAGGATGAACTCATGCAGGCAAACAAATGACCCGTGTGACTAAGGTTTATCAGGGAATTCCCATGAGAAAGTCTCGTGGGGTCTCTTGTCCTGATAAAAGCAGAACAGGGACTATACCAGTATTTCTTCTTCTCCTTGACAGGATTTAAAGACAATGACAAATGGAATATGCCCACATGAGAAAAATTAGGACAGAGAAGGAATTTGGAGGACTTGATATCTTTCTCTGATATTTGAATGGTTATTGACCTATAGGAGAGGGGCAAAGGGGCAGGGTTTTCGAACAGAAAGAACACGAGACTGAAAAGAAGACTGTGTTCTCACCCTGATTCTGCCATTGACGTGATGCAAGACCTCTGCCCCATAAGCCCCTTACTTTCCCTAAGTTTCATGTGCCTGAGCTGTGGAAAGAGGGGCTTGAGTAATCTCTAGAGGCTTCTTTATCTTTATGACCCTGCAACTGTGAGGGGCCAGACCGCAGCTTTTAAGAGAAATGTGTAGGTTGTTTAGACAAGTAGATTTGGTCCCTGTGAGTGTCCTGCAGTCAGAGCTGAAAATAGGATTGCTTGGCTTGCAGGATATTAAGAGTTTATTCTTCCTCTGGTTGTTCTTGGAGAAGTGAGGAAAGCGAGCAGCGGGGCTAGCCCACATGGCATCTCCGTATGAATCAAAATGCTCCTCCTCAGGACACTTAATCTGCATGTTGAAAGACTATCACAGGGGCACCTGGGTGGCTCAGTCGTTAAGCGTCTGCCTTCGGCTCAGGTCACGGTCCTAGGGTCCTGGGATTGAGCCCCACATTGGCTCCCTGCTCGGCGGGAAGCCTGCTTCTCCCTCTCCCACTCCCCCTGCTTGTGTTCCCTCTCTCGCTGTGTCTCTATCAAAATAAATAAATTCTTGGGCGCCTGGGTGGCTCGGATGGTTAAGCGTCTGCCTTCGGCTCAGGTCACGATCCTGGGGTCCTGGGATCGAGTCCCGCATCGGGCTCCCTGCTCCTTGGGAGCCTGCTTCTCCCTCTGCTTCTCTCTCTCTCTCTCTCTTCCTCTGTCTCTCATGAATAAATAAATAAAATCTTAAAAAAAAATAAAAACAAAATAAATTCTTTAAAAAAAAGAAAAAAAACTATCATACATAGTACACTGATTCTTCTATAGTAAGACTTTTCCTGTCATCCTTTGGTAACATGTTATAGTAAGTCTACAAATCTGCAGTGTATACATTGCCCTTTGATGTTGCTATTTCACAGTGCACAACCTGCACAGCTGTACTGATAGTAAATTAAACTTAGGCATCGGATAGAAGCTAAATTAAAAGACCACCAAGGTCTGTTCCAATTCTAAAATATGAGATGCAGACTTGAAAGCTACTCCTGCCGCTGCCTTGGCTGCATGAGGATAAGCCGCAGCAGAAAACGGGCTCCAGGAAGGCATCCTATGGGGCGCTGGCTAATGGCGTGTGGCTTTGATCTACAGCAGCAGGCCTGAGGGTCTAAATCTAAAAGTTTAGATTCTTTGCAGCTGATTGAATAATTGCAAAAACCACAGCTGGCATCACCCTCCTTGTGCAGTTTCCAGGGTCCTAAACATCCCACGTTCACTATCAAAAAGCTGGTGAGAACTGGGAGAAGCAAAGTCACTGAGTCCAGTCTGGCATTTTCAGGAGAGAGGCCTGACAAGAAGCATATGCATGTCCAGGACTGCCTGCCCAGCAGGGAGACAGCTTCCAGGAGAAGAAAGGCCCCGCTCTGTGGCTGGAACACATTAAGCAGGGCCGCGGGCCCTTCAGCTGGGAGGCTCCAACTGCAGAGGTCAGTCTCCCACGCTTCACTCCACAGACCAGTCAGGGTGCTGAGGCAGAGAAGGGCGGGGAACGGCAAACTACGAGAGATCCCACAAGGAATCACTCAGGGAAGAAAAGCGCCAGGCTCACGTGTCATCTTTGTAGTCCCCTATTTTCAAAGAGTAGTACGGCCAGGGGCACCGGGTCTATAAATCTGTGTAAGAGCGCACCTTTGAAGTCATCACCCTTCTTTACAGAGAATGCGCTCAAGTGGGTAACTGACTTTTCTAAGATCACATAGCTGATCAGGGGACTGGGCTCGGGCAGTGAGAACTCAAGGGTCCTGACACCCCTTCTGATGTCCGACCACACCTGAAAAATCACAAGGTCTGCGGCTTCTAGCTTCTTTTGTTCGGCCACAATATCCGGGCTCAGACGGCCTTCTTTATAAGCCAGCACAGACTCCACGGGATACTGGAAGGTCCCAGGGTCCTTCAGTGGGCCTGCCAGGAGGAAAACGACAGGTTGAAGCCGGAAGGGCCAAGGCTGGGCCAGAGAACCCACCGGTGAGACGTGCCATGGAGACCTCATCAAGGGGGGGGGTGGCTGCTCCTACCTGTGATGTCCTTTCTGGAGATGACAGGATTGAAGCTCATGGCGTAGAGGTCCGACACGGTGACCTCCCATCCTTTCCCCTTCAAGGCCTCTACCGCTGCCTCCTTCATGGCATAGTTGAAGGATGTCTTCTCTGGGTGGGCCAGGACGATCAGTACTCTTCTAGCTGCGCAGGCACACACAAGGCAGACAGAGAAAAGCAGTTACCGCGCAGCAAAACTTCAGCTCCAGGGCGGCCAAGCCAGGATCCACAATGCAAGAGTCGACTTCAGGGGCGCCTGGCTGGCTCACGTTGGAAAAGCCTGTGACTCTCGATTTCGGGGTCATGAGTTCAAGCCTCACGGTGGGCATAGAGATTACTAAATAAATAAATAAACTTAAAAAAAAAAAAGGGAGAGTCGACTTTGTTAGGCATTGGGGGATGCGCTCCCCCCACTGAGGCCAGAAACTTACTTTCTCCTTAAAAGTACCCACGAATAAAGGAGGCATCTTAACTAATTTTGTTGGCATATTTAATTGGCCATCTGCATGAAAATGGAATTATCCCCTTAGACAACTAATACAAGGTGTTAGGAGTCAGGACAGTGGTTCCCCTTGTCAAGGGGTAGTGACTAGAAGGTCAGAGAAGGGGCTTTGGGGGTACCCGCAATGTTCTGCTTCTTGATCTGGGTGCTGATCACACAAGTCTGTGACAAGTCACTTTGAATTTGTGCACTTTTCGGTGCATCTATTGTATTCAATATGTATTTTGAGGTTTTTTTTTTTTTTTCACTATCCCACAAACACACCACCTAGAGCAATAAATTCCTGGCAGAGTAAAGATCTAAAGGGAGAATCTGTATAACCTCAAGACAGAGAATACTTTTTAAGAAAGACTAGAGATTCAGAAACCATGGAGGAAAAGCTTGCCAGATAAAGCCACATAAAAATTAAAAAATTTGTGTGTACCAGAAGGCATCATAAACAAAGTCAAAAGACAATCAACAAGGAGATGATATCTACAACTCTTACCACAAAGGGTTAAAATCCCAAAGAATGCCTACAAACAGAAAAAGACCGTGCAATAATAGAAAAACAACTCAAGGTCATGAGCACACTATTCACAGAGGAAGAAATGCCCCACCCAGCACATTAAGGAAGTGCCCTCAGGAAAAGCACATTTAAATGAAATATTTACCCATCGGATTAGCAAAGCAGCTCTGTCCGTGGAGGGTGACTCTTGATCTTGGGGTTGCGATTTCGGGCCCCACGTCGGGTGTAGATTACTTATAAATAAAATCTTAAAAAAAAAAAAAAAGGAATGGCAAAACAATTTTAAGACAAGCAACACTGAGGGCTATGAAGGTTGCAGGAAGACTGGCACCTTGCTGGTGGGACTATGAACTGCCTCCACCTTTGGGGACAGTAAACAGGCTGAATCTCTTTAAATTTTAAAGACACATAAATCTTAGGGGCGCCTGAGTGGCTCAGTTGGTTAAATACCTGACTCTTGAGCTCAGCTCAAGTCACAATCTCAGGGTTGCCTGAGATCGAGCCCTGTGTCGGGCATGGAGTCTGCTTAGGAATCTCTCTCCGCCTCCACCCTCCCTCCCTGATGATTCTCTCTCAAAAAACAAAAACAACAAAACAAAATCCCACACATAAATCTTTGACCTAGCTCTCCAACTTTGGGGAATCTGTTCTATAGACTAAAAGCATGGGGACTCAAAGCTACATGAACAAGGATGCATCCTGTATTACTCTTTTCACTGGCAAAAATGGGATACAACAAAGTTCAGTATCTGGAATATATTGACTCCTGGAATCAAGGCAGTAGGAAAATGGTCAAGGGTTGTGCACAGACCACAGAACATTCATTTGCAGTCAACAGAGCAGGCTTGCTGCTTTGCCCGAGGGAAAGGGTAAAGGGGAGATTCACTACCCAACACACCACCAAGTCACTCGTCGCCAGGTCCTTCTTCATGGACAAACCCGCAGTCTTTGGACTTGAAGGGTTCAGTCGCCCTTCCTGACACTTAACTAGCTACATGGCAAGTTTGAGTTCAAGTCCCACACTGGGTGTAGAGAGTACTAAAAAAAATAATGTGTATATATAGAGAGAGAGATTGAGAGAGAGAGAAATCCACACAACCATGTGCAGGCAGCAGTGGGGGGAAGGACCAGAGAATGGCAGAGAGTGGCATATCCCACCACCACTGCTCCTAGTAACTGGCATCACTACCTCGTTTCTTACTACTCCTAACAGTTGTGTCCACGGGTGGAGCTCCAGTGGGAGCAGCTGCTTCGGGTTAAATTCAGCCAGGTGTCGGCTTCCCACCCCAGCCTGCCCGAGAGGAGCGTTGCCAAACTTGCTCGTGGCGTTTCAGGCTCTATAAACTCAGAGGCAGAGGAATCTAAGTTTGATAAGGGATTTAAATGCTATGAAAGTGATTTATCTGCTTTGGACACCCGGGGAAAAGGGAAAGGAGCCCCTGAAGCTGCCTCAACAAATTCCTACCCCCATTTTTCTTCTTATCAACCCAGGACTTCCCACTCTCAGGAGAAATGTGAGTATATTAAGTTCTGATGAGCATTTTCTCTGTGACTTACCTTTGCATTAGTTATATCAATGTTTACTGAGTACTGCTTTGTCAGTTTTTATTTTCTTGGCTTTCCTACCTATATATAGATATAAAGTTTTGGGTTGTTTTGGTTTTTTTTTTACTTATCAGTATAAACAAGCATTTCCTAAGTAGTAAAATATAAAGGCACTTCACATAAAATGAGAAAATCAGGATATCGGTCCCTTGTTTTCAAGGAGCTCATCAGCTACTAGCTATATAAGATGTCTGATACCCTCAAACATAAGCCATGTGAGTCAAGACACAAACAGGAAGGACATATTTGCAAGAAATATAACTAACAAAGTTCAGTATCTGGAATATATTGACTCCTGGAATCAAGGCAGTAGGAAAATGGTCAAGGGTTGTGCACAGACCACAGAACATTCATTTGCAGTCAACAGAGCAGGCTTGCTGCTTTGCCCGAGGGAAAGGGTAAAGGGGAGATTCACTCCCCAACACACCACCAAGTCACTCGTCGCCAGGTCCTTCTTCATGGACAAACCCGCAGTCTTTGGACTTGAAGGGTTCAGTCGCCCTTCCTGACACTTAACTAGCTACATGGCAAGTTTGACTTTCTCAGGATTTACCCTGAGAAAGGCAGTAAGACACGCACACAAAAAACTAACAGCGTTAGCCTGACAGGGGAGGCAGGGGACAAAATTCCTGAGGAAAACCGTTCACTTCAGGGCTGGCCGATGAGGAACGGCTTCAGAAGGCACTGCCACTGAAGGAGAGAGGTTTGAAAGACCAATGGGGTTATCATCAGTCCTTCTAATTTAACATTCATTTCTGCTTGCCGGGCACATCGTTGACCTCACAGAAGCCATTGTATGTCCCACAGCTGAGCCTGCCCTTGATAATGCAACTCTCTTCAGATTTCAGTCCGTCCCTACGTGAAATATGCTCCCTGTTCATCCGCCCTTCTCTGTGTCCTGCAATCTGGTGTATCCACCCTCAGCCAACAACTTCTCTCCCTGTGCACTGCTCATGTTCTCACTAACCCAGCCTCTGAGCCTCTCCACCGGGCTTGAGTGAGCACCTCCTACCCACCAGGCACTGCTCTAGGCATTTGGGATACACCAGTGTGCAAAAACACACAATTTTTTTTTTCCCCATAGAGCATACATTCTGGTGGCCAAAGCATCCCGACTGTTTCGGGGGACCTGACCTCTGTCCTCATTCTAAGGCTCCAATGTTCCTATGATTCTCTGCCTTCTAACTCAGGCCAATCTGAAACCAAGTTTTCACGAACATTCCAGATTGGGTGGCTCAGTTGGTTGAGCGTCTGCCTTCGGCTCAGGTCATGATCCCGGGGTCTTGGGATTGAGCCCCCCCCCGTCTGGGCTCCTTGCTCAGCGGGGAGCCTGCTTCTCCCTCTGCCGCTCCCCCTACTTGTGCTCACTCTCTCTCTCTCTCTCTCTCTCTCTCTGTCAAATAATTAAAATCTTTAAAAAAATTTTTTTAAAAACTTAGATAAAGCTGGCAGAGAGAGAGAGGGGTCTTGGCACCTTGTTTTAATGTAAAGCACATCTAGATGTCTTTACCAGTAACAGATATATTACCCACGCGATCATTCTGGCAGGAAGAATAAGCAGTCAAGGAAAACCTATCACATATAGAATAAGGGCAGGCCCTCCTATCCGTTTTGTGCATTCTGTTTCTGCTAGTGCATTCACAATCGCTAGTCAGAGGCACCTTGTGGTTGCAAAGAAATGCTTTGGAGGCACAGGATATTGTGTAAGATTGTAAAATCAGGAACTAGCTCTTGCCCTATACTGGAGGAGTGCCAGTGCCCTCAGGACAGCTAAGAATGAAGTAGAGAGAACCCACCCCTTAAGGTGCAGGCAGGAATCCTGGTCAGTTGCCCTGCGGGCTCTCCCAGATGCTTCTCCTCTAGGTTTCTATAAATTCTGGGTGGGCTGCAGCCTTTTTCACAGAGATTCTAACTCTAGTTTGTCAACTGCAACAGAAGCTCATCCCTCCCTTAACTTTTGGCAAGATGAGATTCTCTGCATGTGTGTTTTCAGAAAACAGAACTAGGTTCAGAGGGAAGGAAATTGAAGGTAGAATTCTGTCCCAATTGAGGAAATGGCTTTCTAAATGGTAGCACTGACCCAATCTGGAAATGAGGCTCTCTGGGAAAGAGCTCCCTGCGCCTGCAGGCCTTGCAGCTGGGGTGTCTTAGAGGCCATGCGTACATCAGATACACTTGTGACCCGTAAGGTCCCCGGGGGGGGAATGGTGGAGAGGGGAGATCTGTCACTCCAAGTGGACCTGATACAGGGATCCGGTTTGCCCGATCCAAGAGTCGCGGTCAAAACTGTCTCCTGGCCAGGCAGCCTGGGGCTGGTCTCTATCAAACTAAAGGGAACAACTTCCCGGCTCCAGTCATCACCGGATCTTTTCATTTCCCTCCCACAGCAGAGAATTCACCTTTTTAAACGAAATCACCTATCTTTATTGTAAATACTAGCAACTTATACCAAAATGTTTTAAATTCTGTAAGGCCAAACAAGGTGTGCTAGTGGACCAGATATGGCCTCGGACGACCGGTTTCCGACCTGTTCTGGAGGGAATTTTTTTGCTACCGAGATCAAGTCTCTTTCAAACCCCCACCCCGGTTCGTGGGGTTGGGGTAGAAAAAGGAGCTCCCCTTCCCGCAGTGTCTGGTCAAGGGCTCCTCCCGGGATCCTAATGCCTTTGCTTTTTCAGTTTGGAGTCACGGAGGAAAACAGAGCTAAACCCCTCGGGGCTCCCGCAGACAAACGAGGGCTGGGGGCGCCTCCGCTGGAGGGCTGGCGGGGGGAGCACTGCTCTGGAGGGCGGCGGCGCGGCACTCACCAGCCAGGCCTCCGGCGGTGCGTTGATTGGCTGCGCTGCTGGTTGTCAGGGCGACACTGGCTGCGGCAGAGTCCTCTCGGGGGTGGGGGACAGGGCCGTCGGGCAGAGGCTGGGGTCCGGGGTGCTGCCTGCAGAGCGCCCGCCACTTTATAGCTCCCCGCGCCCGGCCCACTGGAGCGGGGCCCGCCGGGGCGGAGCCAACCGCTGGGACCCTGGGGCGCAGGGCGGGGCGCGCCGGGGCTGCGGTTCTGGGAAGGGGAGTCTGAGAGCTGGAGTAGGGACCCCGAACGTGGAAGAAGGGGTCCCTGAGGACGCAGGGGGCGGGGGCGTTGGGCGCGGCTAAAGGGTCTGGGTGCGGGTGGGAGGCATGCCCATCTGGACTCTGTCCAGAAACCACCTGGGGCCAGCAGGGGGAAATTTCCGGGGGAGTCACGGCGCGCCCTGGCGCCTCCCTCAGCCTCGGGAAAGCGGCTTCGCACGGAATGGGGCAGACCCGGGGGAGGGTGTACAGGGTTGTGGTCCTTAAGCCTCAGATTCGCTGAGTCACTGTGACTTGGAGCTAGCCGGCCTGTTCCAGGGAAAGGAAATTCGTTTCTTTGGCAAGGTTCAGATTCGGCCCTCGGGGGTCCTGTAGGATGCATTTCCCTTGGTGTCGGGAATCTAATTGGTTTTGTACCCCAGGAGCTAGTCCAGGCCTGGTGGGGGAAATAGCAGTAACAGGGAAGCATTTAAGAATAACCAAGACGAATGGACGTGGAGTGTGGCTTGACACACAGCCCTACTTGGGGCAACTGAACAGAGCGAAGAGAAAAGTTCTAAATCTCTACCAGTGAAAGTTGAAGTCTTCATACTACAGGTTTTATTGTGCTTGTTTTAGTGTGCTTTGCAGATTCTGCATTTTTATCTTTTTTTTTTTTTTTTTACTATAAATTGAAAGTTTGTGGCAACCTCGCATTGAACAAATCTGGCACCCTTTTTCCAACATTTGCTCATTTTCTGTGTCACATTTTGGTAATTCTTGGAAAATTCAAACCTTTTCATTATATTTGGTGTGGTGATCTGTGATCAGGGAGGATAACTCACTGAAAGCTCAGATGATAAGCATTTTTTAACAATGAAGTATTTTTAAATTAAGGTATGTACATTGTTAGACATAATGCTATTGCACACTTAATAGACTATGGGGTAAACATAATTTTTTTTTTAAGATTTCATTTATTTATTTGAAAGAGAGCACGCAAGTGGGCTAAAGGGCAGAGGGAGAAGCAGACTCCCCACTGAGCAAGGAGCCCGATGTGGGGATTGATCCTGGGACTCAGGGATCATTATCTGAGCCAAAGGCAGCTGCTTAACCGACTGAGCCACCCATATAATTTTTATATGCACGGGGAAACCAAAAAAATCATGTGCCTTGCTTTGTTGCGGTTGCCTGCAACCAAACCTGCAATATCTCAGAGGTACGCCTTTGCTCTCAAAGGGGAAGGAAAAAGAAATAGAACTTGAAAGTTATGAAAGATTAGAAATGAAAACTAAGAAAATTCAGAGGGAAGGGAGATGGGAGGGGCACCCTTAGGGTAGGGTTTGCAAAATTTAACGGTGTGCTAAAAAACTCGGTAATCAAGATAAATAACTATTTTTTAAGTCTTTTAAGATTTTATTTTTTAAGTAATTTGTATACCCAACATGGGGCGCGAACTCATGACCCCAAGATGGAGAGTTGCCTGTGCCACCGACTGGGGCAGTCAGGCACCCTGATAAATAACTCTTTACCTCAAATGTTTTTTTTTGAAAATCAATTTGCAGAAAAGAAAGTCATGATAGACAAAATATAAAAATTGTAAATAAAGATTCGTAACAATGCCAAGCCAAGCCATGTTGAGCCTAGAGAAAAATGAGGATTCACTTAACACTGATTCATTCTTTATTTTGGTAAAGAATAAAATTCAACTGAGTACGTTTGGAGGGTCTTACTGGTTTTATTCAATGATTCATGAATCAGGCAGGCAGCATACAGTCTAGAGGGTAGAATGGGGGTCTGAGGAGCTGTACAAAATGAAAGACTTCTATAGGCAGAAAGGAGCGAGAACAAGGAAGTTACACTTTGTGAAAAGGGGATTGGTGTTTTTTTTGAGGTTACTTTTCCTTTAGGAGATGGTGGGGGTCTATCAGGTAGATTACCTAACTAGTGCTGATCAGGCCATTCCTGACTGATATAAGATTCCAGTTCAGGGTGAGCTGATTCTGTTTGGTGACATGGGGCTAAGTGTAAGTGATGTTCTAATCTTAGGGAGATCATTTGCTTGGTGCTGGGTGGCCAAAAATATGCATTTAAAGCTTTTGAGAGAATACAGCACACTGAGGAGACTATGGTTATTAAAAGCAAGATAATACCCAATGTCTGGAGTGCACTTATGAGTCATGGTCCCCAAGACCCAAGCCAATCAGAATTAAATAGGTCAAAGTAAGACCCAGTTGAAGGAGTCACTTTTTTTTTTTTTTTTTAAGATTTTACTTATTTATTTGACAGAGACACAGCGAGAGAGGGAACACAAGCAGGGGGAGCGGGAGAGGGAGAAGCAGGCTTCCTGCCGAGCAGGGAGCCTGATGTGGGGCTCAATCCCAGGACCCTGGGATCATGACCTGAGCCGAAGGCAGATGCTTAACGACTGAGCCACCCAGGCGCCCCTAAAGGAGTCACTTTTTATTTTTTTATTTTTATTTATTTATTTATTAAAGATTTTACTTATTTATTTAATTGACAGAGAGAGGGAGAGACAGCGAGAGAGGGAACACAAGCAGGGGGAGTGGGAGAGGGAGAAGCAGGCTTCCTGCTGAGCAGGGAGCCCGATGCGGGGCTCGATCCCAGGACCCTGGGATCATGACCTGAGCCGAAGGCAGTCGCTTAACCAACTGAGCCACCCAGGCGCCCAAAAGAGTCACTTTTTAAAGCCAGCTGGCTTACTCAGTGATCTTACGCAGCTGCCGAGTCTCAACTTGGCCAGAAGTGTGAGCCCAAGTGCAGCAAGTGGTGGTGGCCACTGAGCAAAGACCTCTTGCTCAGCCAAAAGATCATCAAGGGCTCTCCTCTTGTTCCTCAGGAACAAGAATGGCCAGAGATTAGGGATTTTTATTGGGCAGGTAATGCTTTAGCCACAGTTTCTGCAGTATCTTCGAGTTAAGGAGAAATTCCAAGCGTAGCCTCAGTGGCATTTACCCTTAACCAGGACAGTACGGATCCGCCACAGGAAATGAATTTTGAATCATGAATGACTCTTGGTAATTTCCATTTGAATCTGTGACTAGGGACTAGAAAGGTGACAGTCAGTAAAACTGAAGGGTCTCTAGACTACACAGGTGGTTTATTCTGGTTACCCTTGCCTTGTGTCCCTTTCTTTGAACAGAGACACAGTTTCCCCTGGTTTGGGGTTGTTAACCAGAGTCCAGGAAAGAGACCCCCAGGATGGAAAGTGGCTGAGTTTGTTTCATAGAAACTGAGGTATTGGGAATCAAGGAGAAGTTTGGGACAGGCAAATGATACACCAGATCAGCAGCATGGTGGCAAATCTAACAGTTACTTGGAGGTTGCATTACCACCCCCATGCCCCACCTTGCAGTGGCCTGAGCTGGGAGAACAATGGCATTATGTGTCCAGGCCAGGGTAAGGCAAAAGGTGAACAAAAGAACCATCAGGACTTTCGTGGTGTAAGAATGAGGAAAGGGATGGTCAGAGAGGGAAGGAGGGACAGAAACAATGTCAGAGCAATGTTTGTTACTTCTCTTTCTCAATTTGATTTTTCTTTTTTTCTTTTTTTTTTTGTGTGGTCTCTGGCCTTTTTCCAGGGCCAGATAGCTGTCAGATGTGTGCCCCAGGTTTGACACTTTGCAATTTGGGTGGCAGGGTCAGTGGTCAAGAGTACTTGGTAGGGTCCTTTCTGTGAATCTTCATTTTGCAGAAGCGTCAGAGTGAAAACGAACTGTCTGTAAATGACAAAAGACTTTAAAACGCCCATGGCTAAAGATCTGGTGAGAGTTCATTACAATAGAATTGACAAGGACATGGGGTTATTCCTGTGATACCCGATATTTTAAGATCATAACTGGAATTATGACTGATAACATTGTTCTAGGACATAACAGATTTCTAGGAATTTCCTACAATCTCTATAACCCCTATATAAATAGGCATCCGTACAAATACCATCTAAGAAGAATTAGCCTCACTTCTTACTTTTTTTTTTTTTAAAGATTTTATTTATTTATTCGAGAGAGAGAGAGAGAGAATGAAAGATAGAAAGCACGAGAGGGAAGAGGGTCAGAGGGAGAAGCAGACTCCCCGCCGAGCAGGAAGCCCGACGCGGGACTCGATCCCGGGACTCCAGGATCATGACCCGAGCCGAAGGCAGTCGCTTAACCAACTGAGCCACCCAGGCGCCCGCCTCACTTCTTACTTGATAATGCTTGCCATGTAATTTAGCACACCAAAGAAACCTAATTGTTTTTTAACATCTTCCTAGGTGAGAGATAAGTCCTTCAGATTTTCCAGGGAACTACTGGTAAACCTCAAAGTTATTTTGAGGTCAAAAGATCCCATTTAGAATTTGATTTGGAGAAAATGTCAAACAGTTTGAACATTGGATTAAATAGATCAGGGACTTCTGGTTGGCTCAGTCAGTTAAATTTCCGACTCTTGATTTCAGCTCAGGTCGTGATCTCAGGGTCCTGGGATTGAGCCTGGTGTCAGGCTCTGCGATGAGCATGGAGCCTGCTTGAGATTCTTTCTCTCTCTCTCCCCTGGCTTGCACTTGCTCTCTATCAAATATGAATGAATGAATGAATGAATGATCATTATGAAATAAGACAGAATTATCTACTTAACCAAAGTGATAGTAGATATTAAAGGCAAGTACAGAAGTTTAGTTGTGAAAGAAACTTAGCTAGGAGAAGACTAGGTTTTCTTAAGTAATCAAAGACCTGATAAAAACAGTGTAAATTATTTTGGTAAGACCCCAAATCTTTGCTGTCCAGGCAAATTACCTAACAGGTAAGGAAACTTTTTTTTTTTTTTAGATTTTTTATTTGATAGAGAGAGATACAGCAATAGAGGGAACACAAGCAGGGGGAGTGGGAGAAGGAGAAGCAGGCTTCCCACTGAGCAGGGAGCCCGATGTGGGGCTCGATCCCAGGACCCTGGGATCATGACCTGAGCAGAAGGCAGACGCTTATCAACTGAGCCACCCAGGTGCCCTGGTAAGGAAACTTTTATAATCACTTAAAAAAGCAGACCAGAAATCTAAGAAAACCTGTCCTTTTCAGAGAGAGA